TGTCTGCTGATTCAATCGTAGCTCAGTGCGAGCTGTTGAGGATGTGTTTTGCTTAGAATTGAACACTTTGTCAGTGCTTGTTATAGCTACCTGGAATAAACTGCCACTCATTTCTGGGCGGGAAGCTTATCTATATGTTGCAGGTTGAAATGATCTCTTTTTTCCTGTTCTTATTGCAAGAATATTGAGATAACAAGATCCCTGCATAACGTATCAATAACTCTGGAGACAAAATCAATTCTAAAGAAGTCCTATAAATCTATAGCCAATCTTTGCCCTGGATGTTGATGTGGACTCTGGTGTTCCTGGGAGAGTTTGTACGAAGGTACCTTGTGATCCGTAGAAAGGCAACGTTCACCATCTTCACGTTACTTTTGTACCATTTACCATTCCGGGAGCATCTTACCATAATTCAAATTCAATAGAACCTCACACAATCCTTTATTTCTCACTCATTAGATTCCCCTCTTTTCTTCCTTTTAACACAGGCTTCATGTAAATAAATAGTAAAATAAGGCCTAGTTTGCTGAGGTGCTAGAAAGCATGTGGACATAACTAAGAGTCCGTTTACTGAAGGCTCTTATACAATGGAACATGGTCCCGGAAGGAAAGGAACAGGATGTCTTTGCTTCTGCTTTTCCGTGTTCATCTTTGACCTGGAGTTTGAATGGCAGGTGTTGCGACAGAAAACATCTCCAGTCTTCCACTGAATCTGGAAAAGAAGAACAGCCAAGAAAACACAATCCAAGCTCTCTCCTGTGTTTGGCATTCGCAGCTGGCAGCTGAATACAATAACCTGCGCTGCAGGAGACACAATGGCCATTCTCAGTAGTAGAGGCTGTTTGATTCCGGGAGTCTTCAAAGTATTGTCGGGGAGCTATGTTTAGAGCAAGGATGGGAAGCCCGATAGTCCTGCTTAGGAAAAGCACGAGGAGGCTGACCCCAAACATCCCTCAGCTGATGGCACCCCGCCCCACCCGTCCGTCACACTAGAACAATAGTGGCAGCTGACATCAGGGCCTACCAATTCCCTCAGCAGTAAAACCGCCTTCCACACAGGTGCTTGGGGTGGGAGGTTTGCTCTTACTGCCCCTTTTTTAGTCCAGTACTAACTGTACTGACAGCCAACACTTTGATATACTGGAAGAACTGGATACATGAGCCAACTCCTTGAGTTAATAAAGTCAGCTTTATTAAAAATAATTATAAAATATTGCTCTACAGATGCTAAGGGGTTTTGTCTCATGACATGATTAAAGTATAACATATAGACAAAAAAAAAACTAGGATAACAATATTGATAGGACAATAACAAATAGTATTTGAGTGAAAAAAAATCAACTCTTACAGTGACCCTTCCTGTGTACTTTAAATCAGGTGATGTTGACTCTTGGATTCTGTGACACTACGTGAATCCCCAGTAGAGTGCTTGATTCCCAAATGTTAAGGGTGGCTCTGATGCAATCTGATAGATTCTTGGACCTAGTTCATAATCTGCTGGCATTCCCCGCCATGAGAGCTCCCCATTAGCTTCCTCACACTTCCTGCCATTACAGGGCCTATGACCTGCTTCCTGTTGATAAGTCCTTCGAGCTAGTTCAATATCCTCAGGAAAAGAAATAGCTCATTGTGTCCCCTGGGGAAATCGGCTCTACCAGGAAAGGCTGGTGCCTCTTCCAACTTGTCCTTAGAAAATCACATTGTCAGAATCAACTGGTGTTTATTTTTTTTTTTTAAATTACAACAGCATTAACACAATATTACTGCTCCCCACCCCCAAAGATTTAGCTAACTATCTGAAAAGGTACAGTTACTGAGAGAGGGAGAGGTAGAAGGATCTTTTGTCCATTAGTTCACTCCCCCAAATGCCGTAACAGTTGAGGCTGGGCCAAGCACAAGTCGGGAGCTTCTTCTGGGTCTCCCAGGTGGGTGTGAGGCCCCAAGCACTTGGGCCACAGTCCACAGCTTTCCCAGGTGCGTTAGCAGGGAGTTGGCTCTGAAGTCGAGCAGCGAGAACCCACATTGGCACCTCTCTGGGTGACCTAACCCACTAAGCCACAATGCCAGCCCTTGATTATTTTCTATTCTTAAATTTTCAAAAATTTGTTTGCAGAGAAACTACTGAGCTTTACTCATTTTCTGTTCTGAAATGTGTGCTCAATGCTGCTTAACAATATTTTGAATTTTGTTACACAAAGGAATGAGGGAAAGAGGAAGAGAAATAAGCTCAAGACAAGGAAGCATATTGAAGGCTTACTTTTTTTTTTTAAACTTTCTAAAGTGACTGCTGTCCTTAGGTCCCAGACTTGCAGTGTAAGCACGGTCAGCATACACTCTCCAGGCAGTGACTCCTTCAGGCAATGGCATTTGAAGAGAAACTTACCATCTATCCCTGAAGATAGGATGCCAAGCGTCAAAACTTCAATGTACCATCTCCTTGTTTTACAACTTAATCCAGAAAGTCATTTGGTTTTCTCACATCAACTACATTTTCTTTCCATAGTCACAAGACTTCAAGAACAGTCGCTTGTCTACAGTCTAAATCCTTATTTTTTGTTATGTACCTGTAGCAACCACTTGAATTGAAAAGTTGTTTCATTATGAAAAAGATTTAGTGAAAATTTCCACCTCTGGACCCAACATGTTAAAGTCCTCACCTTGCACTTGCTGGGATCCCATATGGACACCAGTTCATGCCCTGGCTGTCCCACTTCCCACCCAGCTCCCTGCTTGTGGCCTGGGAAAGCAGTTGAGGACGGCCCAAAGCCTTGGGACCCAGTACCAGTGTGGGAGACCCAGAAGAAGCTCCTGGCTCCTAGCTTCGGATTGGCTCAACTCCAGCCGTGGCGGCCACTTGGGGAGTGAGCCAGTGTTCGGAAGATCTTCCTCTCTGTGTCTCCTTCTCTCTGTACATCTGCCTTTCCAATAAAAATAAACAAACCTTTTTTTTTAAAAAAAATTCTCCACTTCACCAGTGGTGGTACCTCTCTACAAATTATTCACAAAGGCAGGTTTCCAAAAAGGTTGCTGATGTATATTTGAACTCCAAAATATTTAATACACCCCTAAGTCCTTTTTATGTTTTCTCAATTTTCTCTACAGTTAATATTACAACTTAGATTATGAAATCAATTTCATATTGACCTTATTTCTTTTTTTTTTTTTTCTGCCAAAGACTTACTTATTTTCATTGGAAAGGCAGATATACAGAGAGAAGAAGAGACAGAGAAAAAGATCTTCCGCCCACTCATTCACACCCCAAGTGGCTGCAATGGTTGGAGCTGAGGCCATCTGGAGCCAGGAGCCTCCCCGAGGTCTTCCATGTGTGTGAAGGGTCCCAAGGCTTTGGGCCATGCTCTATTGCTTTCCTAAGCCACAAGCTGGGAGCTGGATGGGAAATGGAGAGTTGGGACACAAACTGGCACCCATATGGGATCCCAGTGATGCAAGCAGAGAAGATTTAACCACTAGGCTATCGTGTTGGGTCCTGACCTCATTTCAATTCACAGTAACATTATGAGGAAATTGTAAATAGTTCAACTTTATACTTAATAAAAAAAAAAACCTCCCTGAATTAAAGGTGATTTTCCCAAGAAATCAGAGTAATTTGCCAAAACCTTATGTTTTGCCCACAAATGCAATCTCTGTTTGCAGACTATAATAAATAAACACAATTTGCTCAACACTATAGGAATTTCCCAGCACATCAACAGAAAATTGAATGTCTTCAAGAAAGATTCTGGAAATAGTATTAGTTAAGTGAGACAATTATAAAAAGGCAGTGTGGGGTTGGCAGGCATGGTTGCTTAACAGGCTAATTAATTCTCTACCTTCAAGTGCTGGGATCTCATATGGGTGCCGGTTTGTGTCCTGGCTGCTCCACTTCTGATCCAGCTCCTAGCTTATTGCCTCGGAAGGCAGTTGAGGAAGGCTCAAGTACTTGGCCCACGTGAGAGACCCAAAAGAAACTCCTGGCTCCTGGCATCGGCTCAGCTCAGTTCTGCCCCTTGCAGCCATTTAGGGAGTGAATCAGTAGATGAAACAGCTTTCTCCATACCGCTTCTTCTTTCTGTAAATCTGCCTTTCCAATAAAAATAAATCTTTAAAAAAAGAAATGAAATCATATGAAGACAGAGGGCTGGTGCTGTGATTTCGCTGTCAGATAAATGTTTATTGAAAAAACTGAAGTGTCCTAGTTATCACTGCTGAAAAATCAGGATTTGTAGCAGACGATCCCTAAACGGACTTTTCTGTAAGTCAACAATGATGTCAATGGACATGTATTTTAAAAGATCCCTATAGGATTTAGTCATCTTGAGAAAGAAATGTATAATGGGAAAGTCATGCAGCTGCTGCTGCCTGCCATTCACTTCCCACAGCCTGACCAAAATTCCAAGAATCGCTCAACTGCAATTAAGTTTGCAAGCTTGTCTTCAAAGATCTCACTCTACAAAGATCTTGTAGACAACATGATCTTGAAGACAACATGAATTCCAAAGACTTAGTCTTCCCAAATGATTACATAAGCAGCACTTGCCTGGAGTTCTCACAAACCCTCAAGGAGGCACAATCAAGACAGCAATGGTAGTTGTGTTGTGGAGCAACCTGCGAGGCCATATCCCACTTGGAGGTACTGGTTCGAGTCCTGGCTGTTCCTCTTCCCAACCAGCTCTCTGCTAACGCACTGGGAAAGCAGCAGAATGTAGTCCTAGTGCTTTGGCCCCTGCCGCCCATGTGGGAGTTTGGGATAGAATTCCACGCTTCTGGCTGCGTTCTGGATCAGCTCTGATCATCACAGCCATTTGGGGACTAAACCAGAAGATGAAAGACCTATTTCTCTTCCTCTCTCTCTCTTGCTCTCTCTGTTACTCTGCCTATCAAGTAAGTGAAATTTTAATGTCAGTAACAGCCTACACTACATTATGAAAAGCATTTCCACACTGGATCACAGATTTTTTTTTCTCAAATTATAAATCCATTCCAAAGTCATGTACATGTCATGTTGTTCACATTTATTATTAACTCTTCAGTACCTGCAAGATGAGAAACGGGAAGAGATGGGAACCAAAATCCATCACTATTGTGTACAAAAATATTGACAGGTTTTTTTTCCTGTTTTTCAGCCTCTCCAAAGAGACTATCAGGAAGTGTAATTCTGATATGGAATTGAGTTGATCATATATCCTGCCTGGGAAAAATTCTTGGGGGAAGGAGGCATTCTGGAATCTTGGTGGTCAGGGGAGGCATAGTTACAAGAAGGTTCTGCTGAGAAGTGTCCCAGTTTGAAAGCAGGCCATGTGTGCACGTGGCAGGCAGTCTTTATTGAGAGGTATGGAAAGGAAGAAGGATGAACTGAAACAAAATCAGTACTTGACAGTTGCTAGCAATGAGGAATGGCTGCTAGTTCCTCATGGACTTCTATGGGGGCAAACAACGTTATTTCTGTTGAAATCTTCTACTTCACTAATTTTCTTCTCATTTTGCAAAATATAAAAAGAATGTGGAAATAGGGAGACAGGAAACGCTGAGAAAGAAGAAAGCGAGGACCTTATCTCCAAGGAGGTCAATGATGGCTTTATGAGTTTCTAGGGTTGGGAGGTGGTTCGTAAAGAGTCTTGTGACTGGTAAACACGTGACTGAAATGGCATTCAGAAATGCCGGTGACCCTGAGCAGGAAACGCGAGAAGCCTTCTGGCACTGGGCGGAGGGGCAGATTTTTCTGATGTGTCTCTGCCGATGCTGCAAACCTCCCTTGCATTGCTTTTGCTTGGCTCCTTTCTGCTGCCCGGCATTGTGGCTGGAGGAAAGAGGGCCTCACTCCCGTCAGGTGCTCCAGGAATTCTGAAGGAGCTTCTCTGGCCTCACCAGCCCGGCCGGCCGCTCGCACGCACAGCGTCTCAGCTCCCTGCAGTCCTTTGAGAAAGCCTTCCCATTGAGAATGGTCACGCAGTCCCTGCTCCTTAAGTTAGTCACATCAATTGCAACCTCAAACCTGAGACAGAAAAGAAAATGTTCAGGCACAGCTTATTTCTAAAATGCAATGTCAAGTAACCCCAAAGAACGTAAGAGTTCTCCTAGCGCAATAAAATATGACAACCCTTAGTAAATGAAATCTACAAAGTGAAATCAAAAGAGAGGCTTCTTTGTGTGTCAAAACCTTCTGAAATCCACACATGCCTTTTTCATAATACATGTTTTGCATAAACTTTACAAAGACCGCTGGTGCACACCAAGAACGAATCTGGGAAGTAGGGGTTCGCTGAGCTCATCATATTCGGCTTCTCAATTATATCCGTTCTTGAAAGCAGCAGGATACCCCAAAACCAACAAGAACTATTTCTAACTAAAACCAAGACACATTTGCCCATGTAAGCTTATTGTCTTATTTTACCAGCACTTACATAACTCTCTACTTTCTCCATGACTTTGTTCACTTACAAATGATTGAATTGAATATGTCCAGCTTCCTGGAAGAGTAAATTTTACAGAGTGTTCATGGAAAAAAGGCATCTGCCCAAACATGACTTTGAATATAACTTATTTTGACATAGAAACTACATTTTCCTATTCTAAAAGATGCAGTGCATACTCTTAACGCTCACATAAAGCATTAGGAGTGTCAGCAAGCCTGTTCCCAGAATGTACTTGACTAAAGTTATTTTAATGGATGTGTTCCCTACTTTACTGCCTGAAATATCACATCTGTACAGATGTGGGCTTTGGCAAGCTGTGTGGGCTCCCACAGTTGAGTTTATTCACCCAGAAAGTCTTCACTCTCGTGCCTCTCATTCACAATGAGTCCCAGAGGCACCTTCTGAGAATGGCCAGAGCAGCAGCCTGATAGTCACACGCTGCGCATGTCTCCCTCCCTGCCACAGTCGGGCAATGCGTGTCAAGCATGCATGCTCCTACAAGCAGTCTCCAGTACGAAGGGACTTGGGATGGATGCCTACTAAACCAAACTGTGGACTGCGTCACTCTCTCTCTCTGAAATGCCTCTCCCATGTAATGCGGCAAAGAAGGCTTACAGTTGAAAGTTGAAAGGCGCTCCATCTGTCCACAGCCAGGCCTCGCCACTGCTGTTGCGGGAGAGCCCTGTCCAATAAGAGTAGAAAAACTCAGAGTAGCTCTGAGGCATGGCAAACTCCTGTGAAAGGCACACAAGAAAACCTTGAGCTTAGTGGTGTGATGACGTAGGCAAGAAGTAAAGGGGAAAAAACTATGTAAAAATGTGTTGTCTGAGAACCTAGGCAAAGGTGTCAAACTTTTAACTTTATTTTCCACACACTTTTTGGAATACACACACACACACACACACACACACACACACACACACACACACACACGTAACATTCATGACAATTCCTTCCCATAGTGAAATTTTAAAAGTTATTTATTTCCATCTAGTTTCACTCTACATTCTTAGCATCTTTAATATGGAAATTGACTGAAATTAAGGGTTCGTTTTTACACTCTTCCATTCCACCATGAGCAGAATGAGTTCTTTAAGAGCATAATCTTTGCCTTCGTGATAGTTACGAACTTGTTATAAACTTGCTTTTAATTGCTATCAACTTAATCTGTCAGATAATTAACGACACATATTGATTCACTAAGGGATTATTGGAAAGACAAGGGAAATAACTGCAGCGCAGTGGTCAGAGCAGGCATATGAAAAGAACTGCGTTTAAACACACTGTTTCTAGGAAAATAGAGGCCCATTCAAATTAAAAACTATGAAAATCAATCAGATTAAAGTATTTTAAATATAGACAATGCATGACAGGTATTTATTTATAAAAATATGCTGCTCCTTTTTACTCAAAACCCAAAGAGACAAGAAATGAAAACATTTCCAGTTTTCTACGTGGCTACGAGTGTGGTTTGAAGAGACATCTCTGAGATGTCTATGGAGAGTGTGTTATTAGAGCCAGAACTCTGTTTATATCTTTCAGAGCATCATCGAAAGCAGTAGGAATTTGTGGCTTTGATTGCATCAGCTGAGACAGTTGGTGGATACCAGTTCCGACTCCTGACTCCCCTCTTCCTCCTAGCTCACCTAAACGCCTCTACTTGTGGGGCCTCCAACTAGCGTAGTGGGTTAGGATCTTACCAGCACTTCTTGCGTGTTTATCTTCAGCATGGTAGAGTTCTCAGATAAGCAGAAAGACTTGCAGCCCTGCCAGCTTCTGCCCTCTGTGTAGAACTGATAACATCTGTCCTCATGCCACCTCCATTTCTCTGGACAAGGGCTGCACCTGTGTCCTTGGGAAGAAATCAAACTTGACACGTCAATTCCTACCTGAATCTGCTGAGTTTCCTCTTTAAATTATACAGTATTTTGGGCCTGGCACAGTAGCCTAGTGGCTAAAGTCCTCGCCTTGCATGCTCTGGGATCCCATATGGGTGCTGGCTCATATAATGACAGCCCCGCTTCCCATCCAGCTCCCTGCTTGTGGCTTGGGAAAGCAGTGGAGGACGGCCCAAAACCTTGGGATCCTATACCCATGTGGGAGACCCAGAAGCTCAAGCAGCTGGATCCCTGCCATTCAAATGGAAGACCCAGATTGAATTTTTGCCTCTTGGCTTTGATCTCGTCCGTCCCAGGCTGTTAGACGCATCTGAGAATGAACTGATGGATGTAGAATCTTTATTTATAATCTGTCTCTGTTTTTTTCCAAATAAGTAAGAACAAATACATTTAAGATTTCCTGAATATTGATTCTCTGACCTTGTCTTCCTTCATAGGATTGATGACTCTTTCCTAAAACATATTTAATTGGACCAATCATTCTTGCATGGTTGAGGGCTAGGGTTTCCCAGAATCTGAGATTTTTAATATTAAGACTGGGAAAACTGTACAAAAACTGTGATACATAACTCACCTTTACTTTGATGTTTTAAACATACTTATTTCTGCCACTCCAATAAAGCAAGTGGAGCATGAAGTAAGCTAAATGTGGTGTATTTCTGTAGCTTTTCTATTTTCATAAAGCCAGGTGGAAATCTCAGATATCATCTATTTCAGAGAAACCTATCTTTCTGATGCCATAGCACCCGACAAGGAAAAGTACACCCATTGGGTTAACAGAAAAATATGAAAAGGAAGACAGTGACAACTATTGAGATCACAGTCATGTGGGGAAGAATCATTTACAGAAGTGAAAGTGTGCCTACGAGATTATTTACTGGGTATTCATATGTCATCATGTCTGCCTAGGGTAGGAAATGTCTATGGATAAATGCAAGATGAGGAGACTCTGTTCTCCCTTTGAGGTTCTTGAGAACTTAGACTTTTCAAGAAATGGACAAAAGTGAAGACTCGAAAACATCCATGGCTTCCTATGCAAGAATGAAAACAAAGTGAAAGGGATGGCTTACTTAAATGAAGTGAATCCACATGAAACACAAAAACAGAAGACTAGTAAAATACACACACATACACACATAGAGAGAGACAGAGTCTCTATCTTTCCCTGCAGTATTTCTAGCCAAGTTGGTTTGCCTACCGTTGATATTCTCATCGTCTAAGGTCCTTATTAAAAAACGCATATTTTGATACCCATCCAAGTCATAGTGAATTAAAATTTGCAGTTTGATTCAGCTTATCTGCATTTCATTTAATCCTTGTAAAATAGTTGTACCAGTGGACATTGAAACAGAATTCCGTACTGTATGTATTTGTAATAACATGCTACTAATCCCATTAATTGTTTTAAGTATCTCTTTATGTGTCATAACATAGTCTTACCTGAACTCCATGATACCAACGACTAGTTGCCCAATCCCTTTACTGACTTTGTCAGATAATCAGTTCAATAACACATGGTTCACAGTTGCATCAATGGAAATTGACAGATGTCCTGGGGGCGGGTTGCTGCGCACTGCTTACCTCCGGTCTTGTTATAGAGTTCCCGACAGAGTTTTTCAGCCACACGCAGCAGAGTTTCTGCAAGCTTCCTGTTCTGGGCCTGGAGAGATTGCATCTCCCGGGAGAGATTCCCCAGTCGTTCCTCCTTCTCAGCGAGGCGGTCTTGCTGTGTGTCAGAGAGCTGGTAGTACTGAAAAACTAACCCAAGTGGCCAAGTCAGACAGGAAAGCTCATTTCTTCATTTCTATTTCTGACATCTTGCGGAAGACAAAACATTATACAAATTGTTTAAGATATCAGGTGCTGAGATCTCATATGACTTGTATTCAAATATGAACTCATCACCTTGGGCTAATTTAATTCCTCTAAATCTGTTTGAAAGTGAAGTGAAAAGCCATGTCTGTTCTTAATCTCAGAAATAAATTCTCAAAGTATAGCTGCTGCTCATTAGAGATTTTTGTGTAGATTTAAACCACTGCTAAGTCTAAAACCAAAACCCATTTCTGTCAATCACTGTCATGAGTGACAGTGTGCCATAAAGCGTTATTCATTCAACTATTACAGAGGCCACATTATCGTATTTATATTTTATAGATCTGTAACCACAATAAGTACGAACAAGTAACTTCCTTAATGTCATTTCACCAGAAAATTTCAACATAGGTTTGAACTTTTGGTATTTAATCTAAATAAAGAAATCCCTCATGATTCCTGACAGTGGCTTCATAGTGCTAAGATGATGATCATTGTAGAACCAGAGCTATATCAAACTGAAGGACACAGCTTGGAGACAGATAGAAGCAAAAGGATTGTGAATTTTTAGGTTAAAATCGTATCTTTTTAGATTTTTCTTCAAAAATCCAGTTTTTGACATTAAAATAGAACCCCATACATGACCTTTATACCTGAAATCAGCTTCTTTAACTGTTCAGGAACTGTAGTTGTTGGATCTTAACCTGATGAGGCAAATTTCTTTCTTAAAGCTTTTGACTTATTCTTACTGATTTGAAATTTAAACATTTTTTTTGTGCATAGATTCTTGATTAGTTCTTACAATGTTTTGTGAAATAACAATAACTTCCTGGCCTTTTGGAAAAATGTCGTCATGACTAAGGATTGTATTCACTTTCCCTGTACTGAGGGTATGGAATATAAATAAAATTTCTTCTCTGAACCAGTCCATGGAGCCATGCTAACTCAGAGCAAAATCCACTGCCATCATACACACCTGGAACGAGCAAGGGCTAAAGCATGCATTGATGAACAAGTGATGCGTTTAATATTAACATACAAACAGACAAAATCTTTCCGATCTCAGACAAATGGTTTATTCCAATTTGTATATTTTAATGCTTGTTCCACTATGCATCATCAAAAAATTGCTGGACACTCAGCCTCAGAACGATTTTAAAAATATATATCTATATGAGCGTTTCTGGTCTTGGACATATCTTGAACCCAGGAGCTTCCCATGGGGCAGTGCAAAGACTTACACACAAGGCCCAGGGCTGCCAGGCCCACCAACAGCACCAAGCACAGAGCCAGCAGAGTCAGGGCCGCTGGACGCCAAGCTGACGAGGGAGTCCTCCTGGGCTCTGCCGGGAACAAGAGAGAAAGCCAGGGTTGCCAGGTTCTCAGCTTCAAGTCAGCAACAAATACAAGGGAGAGAGGGAATTGGTTCCGGAAAGGAACACATTCTGCAGGAGGGTGGTAATCAGGGCTGGACAGGGGGCCTTCTGTCCTCAGACATAGGGCCAAGGCTCAGTACCAAGCCTCACTCATCCCAGCGAGATTCTCTCACAAGCCTTGCCTATTCCCAGCCTTAACACCAAACCCCACGCGGCACTGAATCACGTTATGTATTATCATTCTCTTCATAATCTTCTGTTGGTCAAAATTCTAACCACGGAGGACTGAAACAAAATCTCAGGATCCCTACATCCTTATTTCCTTATGAAACAACCAAGCACAACCAGCTCCCCAGACGTTCTTCAACATCCAACGCACTAATGACCGACAGCTGTCATTCACTGCCTGCTGCAAGCTTAACTTGCAATCCTGTAACAGCTGCTAAGATGCTGAGAAGTGAGAGCAGGTGTTTGGCTTAGTGATGAAGATATCCTCTGGGATTCCCACATCCTGTATGGTGGTACGTGGCTTTGACCCCCAGCTCTGGCTCCGAACCCCAGCTTCCTGCTAATGTGTAACCTGGGAGCAGTGCAATGGCTCAAGCAGTTGCATTCTTGACACCCACATGGGAAACTTGGATTGAGTACACAAAGTCTTGTGGTCTTTGTGGGCATTTTAGGGAAATGGGAGGTTTCTTTCTTTTCCTGTGTGTCTGTCTCTTTGGCTTGCTCTCTCTCTGCCTTGCAAATAATCAGGATAATTATCATAAAATCCACTGTGCTCTCTTTTTAAGCTCCTCAATAGAAACAGATTGAGCTGCCGCCTAAATTGTTCTCACTGGAACTTTAAAGGAGCGATTCAGACTAACTGAAGGTGGATTAGGGCAGTGTGGAGGCCACACCCCCAATGACGCTGCATCTCAGAACATCAACACATGTGTCATCCTTGCGCAGGGGCCATGCTAATCTTCTCTGTATCGTTCCAATTTTAGTATATGTGCTGCCGAAGCGAGCACAGACCATCAACACATGTGAAGGCATGAGCTGCTAATGTCTGTGCCCAAGGACTTCCCGCTGCCTTTCCTCTGCACCTGTCAGATCCCACCACTTAGTCTCAGACTGTTAAGTCCCATTCATCTTTATGCTATACGTTCCCCAACCTCTTTGTGAATGGAAAGATGGATTTAAATTTTGTTGTCACCCTCCCCTACATTCTTCTTAGAAGCTTGAAATAGTGGTTGATGCTGTGGCATTGTAAGTTAAGCCTCCACCTGAGGTGCCAATATCCTATATGAGAGCTGGTTCATGTCCCAGCTTCTCTACTTCTCATCCAGCTCTCTGTTAATTATCTGAGAAAGCAGTGGTACACGAGCCAAGAACTGGAAGCAGCTTCTGGCTCTGGTCAGTTCCAGCTCTGTCACTGTGGTCGTGGGCAAGGGGGAAGTGAACCAATAGATGGAAGATCTCTCTATCTCATCTTTCTTTGTAACTCTGTCTTCCAAATAAAAATAAACAGGACTCATGTGGTGGTGATGCAGTCTAATCCTCTGCCTGTGTCACTAGAATCCCATGGGGCACTGGTTCTAGTCCCAGCTGCTCTACTTCTAGCTCCCTGCTTATGGCCTGGGGGAGCAGCAGAGGATGACCTAAGGCTTTGAGTCCCTGTACCCATTTTGGAAACTCAGAAAAAAAGCTCCTGACTCCTGGCTTCAGATTGGATCAGCTCTGGCCATTGTCACCATCTTGAGCAGTGAACCACCGGGTGGAAGATCTCTCTATTCTCGCTCTCTCTGTCTCTCTTATTCTTTCAAGTAAATAATAAAAATACAGGATTTTCAGGATTCTTATTTTTTCAGGACTTTCATTGACTTATTTTGTGTCTCCTACCCTCCAAGTGTCTCTTCCTTTAAAAGGGTGACATCCTCTATTTGGTTCACCTGGTTATTTACACAGTACTGAACTGCCTAGTACAGAAGGCTGAATTTATACTGCAATGTTGAATTGAATGAGGAATAAAATTATGACAAAATGGACATTACCAAAACTATGGAGCTTTACAGAGGTCTAGAGGACCATAGATTGATTTTTAATGACTCCTTGAGCTTTTCAGCAATAACATTGCTGGCAAAGCCCACACTCAGCTGCACACAGCTCCTGGCCACACTGATTTACATGTGTTGACCAGGTAAGATTCTGTATCGTAAACAAATGTGAGAATTTGTTTCTTTCAGAAAGCCGGCCTATGTGGCTTAGTCAATGCTTTCCGGGGAAAGCATGGTTGCTTCACGGCCCTAACCATGAGAATATGTTAGATCAGCAGAATGCAAAAGAACAAGATTAGAAGCAAAATGTGGGTTAGATTATCCATCCTCTCCGAATTCGTGAGTATTTTTAAAGTCTACACAGTCCAAGGTAAGTGATCGTTTAGACTTTTACTGTTACTAGGACCAGACGTCTGGCCTGGTGGTAAAGTTGCTGGTTAGGATATCGGCATCCCATTTTAGGATGCTGCACACCTGTTTTGAATCTTACTTCTACAGGAAGTAAGCTCTATTATAGAAAAGACAATTATTTTACTTAAAAAAAATCTTCCTTCTTTTTCGTAATATCGAGGATAAAATAAGATGTTGGTATCCTCAAAAGACCAAAAAGAGTGAACTAAAATATTTATTCTGAAGTAAGGGCCTGCTCCCTAATTAAACATTATTCAACAGCATTCACACACACAAAATCTCAAATAGATCGTCCTGCTGGGGACCCCCTTTAAGGTAGAAAAAGAAAGAAGTGCAGTGTGCCTTCTACTAAGAAAAAAAGAACCAAGTTTTGAAAATTCCACTCCAAGGATGGTCTTTCTCTGATCAATTCTCACAATGAGAATTTCTCTCTCTCTGTTGCTACCCTGTCTCCAACCCCACCCTTTATATAAAGTCCCAGATAAACACTACCCACTAGTTTCTATAGGAGATTTGGTCATTTCCAAGGAAACTAAACTTCCCTTAGGGAAAGACTGTGGACTTGGCGGTCTCACTGTTTTGCTTTGCCTCTCCTTTTCTCCAGAGGTATTTTCTTCGGTGGGTCTAATGCTCTGGAGTTTTCTTCCAAGTGTTCCTAAATACAAGGAAGTCTCTTGGGATCATCTCCACCCGAGGATCAGTCAGATTTCCACAAAATTAAGATGCTTTGGAGATGCCTGAGTTTGGCTTGGCTTGGTTGTGGTTTTATTATTTGGAAGACAATCCTTCTATGCTGTCTCCTGGGGCATGTGCAGAAAGAGGTGTGGACAGGCCAGGCAATGATGTAAACATCCTTAGAAGATGAGGATATATATAGAAAACAAACACTGCTTTCCTGGATCCTCTTACTATGACCATGACTACAACAGGCTACAGTTCCAGGGTCAAGTTGTAAGTGCAAATGCTTTTGCAGTTACCTGAAACTTTGGGGATGAAGGGATCTGTCCTACTTGACCAGTTACTTCTCATCAGAAATCAGGGAGGAAAAACCTCACATGGCTCCAGGCTCAGGGTGAATAAGAAATTCAACACAGATGATCTAATGCAGGTTCTTAGATTACCTCTGAAATGCAGATGGTCTTAAAAGCTGGAAAAGATGCAGTCTAAATAATGTGTCCACAAACACACTGCACACTGGTGGCAGAATGGGAGTGAAGCTGTCACCGCCCATGCCACACTTTTGAATCATCACAGAGACACAGAGACAAAACTGGTGATGATATATGTACCTGGTATTCGTAACAGAGGCTTCTTTCTGTCATGAATCTATTTCGAAGGTGTGCTGGTTTCTTCTCTCTAAAGGCAAGTATGTGCTGCCCTTCCTGTTATTTGAAACATGTGGAAGTCTGAGAATATACAGGCGCTCTCCAGAAAGCCATGATTTCTGATTTCATAATTAGTAGAAACTCAGTTATACTTTTTCTCTTGAATAAAATTTAGATGAGTCCATTTTATATCTCAGATTGATTTAATTTCCTGGGATATAGTTCAAGAATAACATGACCATTTGTTGGAACTGCTAAAGTTCCTTGGGTTGATGAGATGAATGCCCTCCATGAGCTGTCTCATTCAAGTTCATAAACACTCTGTAAGGTAGACATTACTTACAGATGGGTAACTGAGGCCCAGAAGGGTCAGACACCTTACTCAGGAATGCATAGCCATTGCGTATGCTGCTTATTAACTGTGTTATAGGGAGTGTTTTATTTCAATGGAAGCTCCCAAAAGATTTTCAAGAGAACAATTACTTTTATCTTGTCCTGGATAAGAAAATTGAATCAAGCAGGCACTTGCTTAAGGTTGTACAGTTAGTAAGTGCTGGAGGGCACAGTACTTGTTGGGAAGCAGAGTGGAGTTCCCGCCTCCTGGCTTCAGTTTGGCCCAGACCTGGCTGTTGTGGCTGTTTGAGGAGTGAACAAGAAGATGAATGCTCTGTTTCTTCCTTTTAGAAATAACCAATAGTCTGTTGAGATGCTTATCGGTAAAAGAATTAAGCTCTGCAGGATTGGTTGTGGTTATTGTCTTCATTCTTCCCATACTAGTTCATTTCCGGTTCTTCCAATCTTGTGCCTACACTGCAGGAAAAACTGGTATTCCAGTGTCACATTCCTTCACTCCATCTTCTCAAAATGAAACCTTGATTGTGCTTTTCCTTCTTTATGTCCTTCACGGACCTCATCTTAAATTCACTCCCACTGAAACCCTGCGGTATATGAGGCTCTAACTGGCCAGGCTGACCCGTCCCCAGGCCTTCCCCTCCAGCCCCATACTGCCACTAGGCGTTTCACTTAGAGCACAGTTACTGAAAACCTTCAGGATGTCCCTTTATCTTTCTCTCTGACTGTATTATTCCTGGCCCTCAAACAACCCTACTCCTAATTCTATACCACATGGAACATCTCAAATGACCTTAAGTCATTTTTTCCTTTATTTTTTAGAAGTCAGAGATACACAGAAAGAGGAGCGACAGAGAAAGAGATCTTTCACCCACTGGTTCCCTCCCCAAATGACTACAATGGTCAGAGCTGGGCAGAACTGAAGCTAGGAACCAGGAGCTTTTTCTGGGTCTCCCATGTGGGAGCAAATAGAAATGGGCCTTGGGCCATCCTCCACTACTTTCCCAGGTTATTAACAGGGAGCTGGATCAGAAATGGAGAAGCTGGGACGTGAACCAGCACCCATAAAGGATGCTGACGCTACAGGTGGAGGCTTAGCTTACTATACCACTGCACTGGTCTCTTGACTTTTCAGTCATTTAAGTGATCAACTCAATAATCACTGCCTGTCTCAGAATTTCTGATCTCCTCTACCCCATTCTATAAAATAATTAGGCTCCCAGATGTAATGTTTATATATGTTCACCCTGGTATAATTTGGGTAGGGATTGTGTGGCTTTTGTTTTCTCATTCGCAGGGATGTCATCTTTGACAGAGACAAATCTGCAAATATGCCTGATGTAGCACGACCCCAAACATAGCTTTGTAGAAAATGTGTGTGATGGTGTTACAGTTTTACTTCTTGTCTTTTCAATTGTTTGACATGTTTTATGCAAACATGACAATTGAGAGGATAAACATCTAGAACATAAATGAAGTTATATGATTCATTTTGTTAGGTCTAAATAGTTAGTTGCCACTCCTAATTGTGATGCAGCATGAACAGGCAGCCACATACATAGGTCTGTACCAGCTGAACAAAGTCCCTAAATGTAATATTATCCTTCTACTTGTCAGATGAAAATGCCCGCTGATAAATCCCAAGATAAACCGACTTCATTTCAGGCCTAAAGAGGGGATGCCATAAAAATATAGATATTAAGCTCTATGTAGAATTTATGGAGGAATCATAAAATTTCCAGGTGACATTATTCTTGTACAGGCATCACTCCCTACCTCTTAAAGGGAGCCAACCCAGGAGGTATTTTTTCCTGGGAGTGCTGTACAGGTGTCCTCTCTTTTTCTCTCTCCTCTCCCCTATCTCCTCCCTCTGGGTAAGGCACTGACCCACTCAGAACAGGTGTTTCTCTGTGTGGGGGGCAAAGGCTCACTCAGAGCACAAATACCTCTTCCGAGTGACAACCACACTCACATGTGTATTTGTGTTTACTTTCTCATTTTTCAAATAAAATTTGGTTTTCACTTCATCCACTTTCTACTTGTCTGCAGTTAGTCATTATATCTTGGGGAAGACAAGGAGCTGGAGTTAGATCACTAAATCCTTGCCATGGCGTTATGCTGCATCTAAATTCTCCACATCTCAAAACATTCTCAGAGTGATGTCTGCTCCGTGATTTTTCATTGCAAAGGTACATCCGATACGTTTCCCCAAGAAACAATCAGATCACTGTAGCCACTTCCTGTAGGTGTTTGTAGGATTCTGAGATGAAAATAAGAATTCAGGATGAGATAACTATTTCCAGATGTTGGCCTGCAAGATGCTCTTGAACCTCCACTCCTGCTGTTTCCATTTCATCTGGAAATCCCCGATGTTCCCGGTCTGGGGAGTGGACTGATCAGGGAGTCTCAGGTGCAGCAGTGGAGAGCCCGGAGAGGGGGAAGGAAGAAAAACTGAAAGGCATTTGGTAAAGGAGGAAAGGAAGAGAACAGGGACACAGACGTAAAGGGCGGCGCTGGGGGTGGGAGGGCGTCAACATCAACAACCCAGTCCTGTCTGTAGTGCAGAGTGAAGTCCTTTCCCCAGAATTGAGCTGCATTTACACTTTAAAAAAAAGTATTTGAAAGACAAAGAAAGTGATCTCCCACCCGCTAGGTCAGTCCCTAAACCGCCTGCAGCAGCTAGGGCTGGGCCAGGCTGATGTGGAAACTCAATCCAGATATCCCCTGAGGGTAATTACTATCACTTGCTGTCTGTTAGGGTCCCATTAGCAGGCGCTGGAATCCAGAGTACAGCCAGGACTACAGCCCAGATATCCCAATCTGGGATGTGGGTGTCCTGAGTGGTATTATAACAGGTATTCAGAAATGCCCAGGCCACATTTCTGCTTCAGGCTCAAGTGGTTGAGGAAATCAGATCCTTCTCGATGTGTGTGAATTACGGAATTGTCAAAGGAACTGCATGTAACTGCATGAGTCCCGGGCCGACAGATGATGGAATCACAGGACTTGAGTGCCCACGAGATGTCAGAAAGCTTGAATCCCCACCCTATTTCATAGCTATCAAACCCCGCACCTGGCATTCATGAAGACTTGTCCAAGGTCTTGTAGCTTCAAGATGAAACCTATTTACAGAAAAATGCCAGGCCTAATTTGTCCACTTTGAAACCTTCTCAAGACAGGAGTTCAAAACCAGCCAAAAAGTAGCTTTTCCTAATCTAAATTTCCAAATCAAATCACAGACAGAAAATAAAGCAATACCTGATCTGGTCTTCAAGGAAAGGCAAAGAAGAGAAGGGATGTGTATTACCTGTACAAACAATCTCACCTTGGCATTGGACAAACCAACACACTCACCATGCAAACCATCTGAAAATGTAAGCACACACACACACACGTTTGTTATTTCTGAAATCCCATTGCAAATGTGTTAGTGTAAGAAGTTCACACTTTCAGAATGTTCCTACTGGCCTACCTGGCAATGTGAACTTATCCCTGTGAATAGAGGGCATATTCACTGCCTCCCGATCGTTTGTCCCTGGGAGAACGCATCTCCCTCGGGTCTGCTGGGAGTCTGGGAGACCAGGTACCTGTTGGCCTGGGCTCTGGCCGCCGGGATGCGGTGGAGACTTGCGAATGCAGGCTCAGGGTGGTGTCACAGTCATCGTCCCACATGTCGCTGGTGCTCCTGTACTTGGCCTGCATTCTGGCTTCTGCAGGGGTGAGGGTGCCCCGGGCTCCTTACTGCCCCTGGCCGCCGGGCTGCTGTGAAGGAGTTCAGGAAGCCAGGCGGGGAAAGGCATTCCTAACGTTCTCTCCCGACTAGTAGCAGGGACAGCCTCTGACTCCAGTTCCTGCCTGGAGGGGCCCAGCCCCTCCCCTGTGAACTTGTAAACGGGCGCCAAATCGCTCAGACTGGAGGAAAACAGCCTGCGTTTTCTATCTGGGCGGGTCTCTCTGAGCTTTATTGGGAGGGCTGCCTTTTGAATCCCTTTAGCTCGCCGTGTAAACAAGAAAGGGAGAGCTTACAATAGCTCCTTCGGACTCCGTGAACCCATACTGGGACGCATCTCCCAGTGCCTTCTCCAACACACACGCGCGTGCGCGCGCGCGCACACACACACACATGCACACACACAGCGTCGTTTTAGTGAGGTGGCTGTGCCTCTGTGGAAAGAGACTGGACTCTAATTGCTAAAATATTTATTGGACATAATGACATATTTATGGAGTATAAATGACGTTTTGATACAGGATATGGTGTGTGATTGGCATATCCAGTGTCTGAAATGCTGATTTTCTTCGTGGTTACAGGCACTTGCACTCCTCCCTCATGGCTTTTTTGAAATATACACTACAGGATTGTTCGCGTCAGTCAGCTGCTTACAACAATAGGGAACCAGAATGCATGCTTTCTGTCTAACTGCTTTGTTGGATAATTGTCTCCCCATCCCTCCTGTGCTCCCAGATACTCCGGCCTCTAGTTTTCTCTCACCTTCTAGAAGATTCGCCTTTTTGAGTGAGTGAGACCCTGCAGTTTCCTTCTGCACTTGGCTTTCTTTCTGCACATACTCAACATTGTCCTCCCAGTTCATTCAAGTTGCCACAAGTGATAGGATTTCTTCCTTTTTAATGGCCAAACATTGTCACTATATATTACATCTTTTTACCAGTGCTTCTGTTGCTGGGTCCTCAGGATGATTCTATGGCTTGGCTACCATGACTGGTACTATAATGAACAGGAAGTACAGTTAGGTCTTAAGCAGGCTGGTTTTATTTCCTTGGGATACACAACCATGCTTAGCAGTAGAATTACTGGCTCAGATGGTAGTTCTATTTTTAATTTTTTAAAGAATTTTCACATTGTTAGTGACAGCAGTTATATTAATTTACAATCACACAGCAGCAGAATCCAGAAAGGGACACGTGAAAACGGCAGAGAGGTGTTGATCAGCACACACACGTGGCTTTGGGTAGTCGATGAGCAATGCATGCTTACATTTCACAAACCAGAAGACAGTGAGGAATTTGTTTCAGGTAATGTCCAAAAACCCTTCCTGGCCCAGCACAATAGAATCACATTATTCAATCAAAGGTTTTCTAGATTCTGGATGACAGTTGGATTAAATCAAGCATACTGGGAACAGGAAACTGTAGCTTGTGTTGGAATAGTCAGTCTATAAGAGATCTAATAGGAAGTAAATGTTCTGATTTTATGCATGTTTCATTACCCTGTCACTGTGCTTTTCAAATGAATAAATAAAAAAAAAATCTTTAGGAGAGGACAAAAATAAACTGTGAATATGTCAACCCTTTCTCTTAGATTAAAAAAGTCTTCTGAATCCAAATATAGGCCTCCGTTCAGAATGACCGACAACGCACGCCCTCACCCCAGAACCAAATTTATCATCACTTTGGTGGACAGAGGACATTGTGACAGTGATGGCCACACAAAAGCCTGTGATTTAAAGTCAAAAGGTTTTGATGAGAACATTTTATTGAGCTGAAATTCACAGACTGTGAAATTAACTATTTTAAAGTAAATCATTTTACAGACTTAGCACAGTTTCTGTTCATACGGTAAACAAACATAAGGGTACATGAGTCCCCCTGACATTACAGAGATTCTCATTGGACGCGCTAGTGGGAAATACTTTATCTGATGATTTTTATCAAACCATCATGTGAGGAAATGTAGTTCTATTCCAATAATATATTTTTATGAAGACTGGGGAGTGGGTAAAAATGACAAAACAGTATATCATAAAAACAACAGCAAAACATGTGTTGCCTCTCCAAATAGCAATACTTCTGCCAAATCATTATGCATTTTTATGCTTAGTTTTTGATGAGTAAATAGTATTTTAAAACAATTTCCCTACAGTTTCACAGCACAGGATTCTGCTAGTCAGAGACAGGACTGGCACATTCTCTGGGTTATTTAATTGAGACAAAGTAGGTATTTCCGCTTTGTTGATGCTGATGGTGATGAACATAACAAGAGACTCCAACTGGAGTGAGGCTGTGGTTTTCCTTCTTTTAGATTCCTTCATTGCATCGCTGAGGAGTATATTCTGCCTTTTACCCATGTCTGCTCTATACTACTGGAAATGAAGAAAAAAAATCATGGGAACACAGGGGTGCATTGGATGACACTTTCTGAGGATGAAAACCAAGTCCGAGAACTGGAGATGAAGTCTCCTTTGAAACACCAAGGACATCCAGGTGAGTACCAGGTCAAAGCCAAATGAAATGTCAGCATCTATTTTGGCCATTGATAGCGCTCTGTTCTGTGCTGTTCTCTGCCCTCCTTCCTGTCTCGCCCACCTCCCTCTGCCACCCTCTCTACAGCGACAGCTTCTTCTCACAGATACTGTAAGCGGGCACGGTGCAGAGCTGATCATACACGACTGACATGTGAATCCAGGCACAATTGTGAGATGAGCTTTCCTGCGTAGCTGAGCTTCTAACTTCAAACCTGTTAAAATAAGAGACAGTCAGTTATTTGGAATGCGCATAAGGAGTTCTGTTGACCTGATGCTGAAATAAACTAATAAGGATTCAAGGCTGAATCTGGTAGTTTCTTTAAACTGAAGGAAAATGGCTTGAAATGTAAGGCTTGAGAAGGAGCAGCGTTCTGGTACAGCTAAGCTGCTGCTGGAGACTTCAGCACCCCGTAATGCAGAGCTGGTTTGAGCCCTGGATGCTCTGCTTGGGATCCAGCTCACTAATGCAGGCACCTGCGAAGGCAATAGAAGATGGTCAACCTACTTGGGCCCTACCACTCGTGTGCGAGACCAGGATGCCGGCCCAGGCTCTTGGTTGTAGTCTAGGCCAGATCTTTCTGTTGTAGTCACTTGGAGAATAAATCAGAAATTGGAAGACTCTATCTATCATCTATCTATCTATCTATCTATCTATCTATCTATCTATCTATCTATCTATCTATCTATCTCAATTTCCTTCTGTTTTTCTGCCTTTAAAATAAGTGAATAAGAGAAAAGATAAACAATAAAAGCCATCAGCACATGAATGAATCTAAATGAACATTGACTGTTTATCATGACCCCCCCAATAGAGCTAGCCTTCTACTCTTGTAGCCTTGTACCATTTACTCTAATAGCATGCAATGAAATTCATTCAAGATGGATAATTCACTAGTTCGCACTGCAAAAGTTGGAAAGTAAAGTTCTTTTTAGTGTGCCAGCAAATAAAAAAATAAAATTGTAGAACAGAAAGGAACATAGAAACAGGCCGGTCTCAATCTTGTTATCAGATGAAAGTGACAGGAGAGAAAAATGGCCAATTGGAGCACAACCTGGCACCTGTGTAGTTCTTCTGTCTTAATCCACAATATCAATGTTTTCTATCTCAATGGAGTAACTGAAAGGAGTCTCAGGTCTGTGATACCGTTCTTTCTTTGACAGAAACAAATGAAAATTCTTGACAGAGCTCAAATGTAATCCAAATCTATAAGGAATACGAAAGACCATTGCATGTAAAATGCCTACTGTTTTTGTGGTATTAAAATGTGGAAAAATGGGCCCGGGGCACCGTGGCCTAGCAACTAAAGTCCTCGCCTTGAACGCGCCAGGATCCCAGATGGGCGCCGGTTCTAATCCTGGCGGCTCCACTTCCCATCCAGCTCCCTGCTTGTGGCCTGAGAAAGCACTCGAGGATAGCCCAAACCTTGGGACCCTGCACCCATGTGGGAAACCTAGAAGAGTATCCTGGCTCCTGGCTTTGGATCGGCTCAGCACCGGCTGTTGCGCTCACTTGGGGAGTGAATCATCGGATGGAAGATCTTCCTCTCTACGCAAACAATGGGTACTGCAACTGCATACTTGGCCATGTAAACCAGTGGGAGCTGCAGCCTAGTTGGGGTGACTCCCCAAAACCCTTACCAGGCCCACCCCCTGCTCTGGTTCCTATGCTTGCTAGTATGTACAGCTGACTGGTCTAGTCCGTCCCACATCTGATCTAGCTCTCATACATGTCAATGGGCATTGGAGCCTAATTCAACCCAACCAGCCCCACTACCCAACCCAAACACATGCTAGTGGGTGCTGTTCTGTCTAGCTATGCCTGCCCCAATCCTGGTTTTCATGCTATCCAGTGGGAGCGGTAATCCAAGAGGGAGGTGTCCACTATTTCCCTACTGGGCCTACGCCCACTCCTGGATAAGGCACTCTAAAGGTGGTTCTGCAGTTTAACTTGACAGAATTAGCTCCCAGTGCTAGTATTTGCCAGCTGATGCTGCGGCAAAGCCCTACCAACCCTACTTACTCTGAGTTATGTTTGCACCAGTAGGACTAGTCAGCCCAGGCTCTTTTCCCTGATCTAGCTCACATGAGGCCCACAGGTGTTGTAGTCCTCCCCGGCCTGGTGTGCCTCATCCCAACTCACACTCTCCAGTAGGAGTGGTGTTCCAGCAGGGGGGCCCTCCACATTCCCCCTACCAGTTATGCCTCCCCCCTTTCTGGTTCTCACAGGTGCTGGTTGGGTGCTTGGAAACCAGTTACATTTCAACAGAGTTCTTTTGCAAGCATATGGCAACAGTTGCCTTTACTAAGTGGCTGTTTCTACCTGTCAGATTACAGTTCATGTTGTAGTGGTAGCCAGCCCCTTCCTGTCTTTCTTCCCTGTCACTTCCTTGTAGTGTGCTCAATTAATCTAGCTCTGCACACCCACACACACAAGATGTCATCACATGGGCTATTTCTCTGATCACAATGCAGGTAGACAAAAGGAAAGCTAAACATGCACGTATGTTTGTAAATTCAGAAACACACTCCCACATAACTCATTGGTCAAAGAACAATGCACATTGGAAAGTATTCTGACCCGAATGGCCATGGAAATATTTTAGAATCACAGCCTTAACTGCACATATCTGAGAACAAAGAAAAAGTTAAAGTTCTTGAATTAAGCATCCACTGTGAGAAGTTAAGGTCCAATAGAAATTTGAATGATGAGAACTTAAAAGGAAGATCCACTTTAGTATTCTGCTGATTTAAAAAGAAAATATGTGGCAATTATAAGGAAAACTTTAATACACAATGGGAAAGATGTGAGATACATTTAAAATAATCTTAGTAAACATGTGGTTATTTCTTGATAATAGTGTACTTCACAGATGAACTCTGCACAAGGCCCTGTACTGAGTGATTTTGTTTCACTCCCCTTTTCTCACAATCCTGAGAGATGGGGTCTCCTTTCATTCTTCTTTCATTGATGGATAAGGAAAGTGGGATTCAGAGAAGTAAAGTGACTTATCAATGTCACACAGTCAGTGAGTGGGCTAATGATGAACTCAACCTGAGGTTTGACTTCCAAGTCCATGGTCTGTCATGGTGGTGTATAAGAGATAGCTACTGATACTTGAGTGGACAATTTTAAGCCAATGCCATGTGGCACACTGTAATTAACGGAACGCCTTTACTGATGGCACGAGGTAGCCTTGCAGCTCTTTCCTCCTCCAACCTCTTCTCTCATCCCCACCACTGTGTCCTTTTCTTTCTCTCTTTCTCTCCCACACACAGTTGCCAAACCAGGCTCTTACAGGAATGAAGTTCTTCTATCTCTCTAAGGGAAAAGATGGCATTTCCAAGATACTTACAGGTGAGGAGAGAACATCGATCCATCCTCCCAGAGCCATGGTTCCTCACTTCGGGAACGAGAAAGCCCTATCCAGAATGAGTGGGCAGCTTGGGAAGACACTTCTCCGTTTATGAATTGCTGCAGAGGAACAGAATCGATTACAAGAACACATCAGACAGAGAGGTAGGGAGCTGGAGAAAAGAGATGACAGGTGATAGCCTTGCTGTAGCCATTTTGAAAGCTGTAAGTGATTAAATCATTTTGGTGAAGAAGACGCATGTAAGTTGACAACCACAGAGAGAGGGGCTCTTTCCTGAAAGTCTTATAAGGTGAATTGTACCTCTTGGAAGTAATTATCATTTAATTTCCAATAAAGAATCCCAGTGTCAGTGCATTCTTCCAACAAGCCAGACAAGATGTGCAGATGACAAATTCTCGAGGTGATTTCCATGGGTGACAGCCACTACTGGCTCCCCAAGGTGGAAATATAATTTGATACTATCTTTGTCAAGATACATTTCTTAGACTTGGAGAGTGATTTTGAAATAATTTAGATCCATTATCCAATTGATGAAAATCAATCTGAGGTCCAATGAAAGAATTTGAATTCTTGACCGGTAGAGGACAATTTATTGTCACTTACAGGCTGGCCTAAAAGTGTCACGATCTTTCTTTGCCATATGTCCACTAATGTGAAATTGGACAAGAATTACAGAAACAGAAGGTAGAGTGCAGTGAAAGTGGATGTGGAAGTGGAAGCTATAGATTCGTTTTGATGTTTTGAGTAAATTGCTTCCTGACTGTATTCCTTGTCATGGTTTATCTGTGTTCTGTTTTTTGTTCATCGTAAATAGAAAATTCGATTTTTCTGTAAAACTGCTTATATCTGTAAAGATCTTTCTAATCCCCCCTGTTATTTGTTTCTAAAACCAGATATTTCATTTTTAACAGCTGAACTGTATCTTTCTTCTGAAGGAATTATGAGCCCCTGCAATAGTGAGGAAGCTTTTAAAATCTCTTTGGCTTGCCTGGTATTTTACAAAGAGTATGTGATTTCTAAATTATCATTGTTTCCATTTAAATTTTTCTTAGATTTAATTAATTATTTGAAAGGAAGAGTGACACAGAGAGAAGATATCTTTCATTTACTGGTTCACTTCCCAAACACCAACAACAGCCAGGGCTGCACCACGCCAAGGCTAAGAGCCAAGAACTCTGTCCGATCTCCCTAGTGGATGGCAGGGATCCAAAGTATCTGGTTCATCATCTGCTAGCTGCCCCAGCAGATTCAGGATGTTATGTGGGATGCAGAGGTATGCCTCGGTGGGATGTGAGTCCCAGGCCAGAGCTTAACCCTCTGTGCCACAACACAGGGTCCAGGTTCTATCTTTTCTTGACAATCACGATGAAGAAAGGTAGAGTTTTCTACTATATTTCACTAAATTAAAAAATGGAAACCGTAAATTTATTAAAATGAGTGATGGTTTTATTATTGTATTGCAGAGATGAGGTGTACTGGAAATGTATTTGTTTTAAGGTGAAACATTGTTATTGAAAAAAATAATTAAAGATAAAAATACCTAATGCATTGTTACATTCTATTATTGTGATGACAGAGAAATTGAAAATGACTTTCTCTTAGGGAAAATTACCCTTACTTGAACTTGCCCTTGATTTTCCTGATTAATATAGACCACAGGTGGTTAGAGCAGAGGTCTACACTTACCAGTTCTTTTGAGCTGTCTATCTTCAGGAGATTAGAGTCCAGCTGAGAGCATCGAATTCTACTTTCATTCCAGGAATCTAGTGACGTGCTGAATAAATAACAGCTTCTCTCATGCATGATCCAGTTAGGGGGACAAGAACTGGGAAAAAACCCTAGAAACAGACAATAGGTGCTATCAATTTCATAGTATTAAGTGTAAGCACCACTCCTTTTAAAAAAAGGTTATTTATTATTTATTCTTATTTGAGAGGCAGAGTGAGAGAGGGGGACACACACACACACACACACAGATATCTATATTCCATCCACTAGTTCACTCTCCAAATGGTTGCAATAGTGGCCAGTACTGGGCCAGGTGGAAGCTATATTCCTGAATCTTCATCTGGGCTCCCACATGGGTGCAGGGGCCCAGGCTGTTGGGCGTGCTAGCAGGGAACTGTATTGGAAATAGAGAAGCTGGAAATCAAGGTGATGCCTACATGGGATGTCTGTGTTGCAAGAGTCTGCTTAACTCACTGTGTCACAATGCCCACCCTGCACCATTCATCTTAAGGGCATTTAATAAGCAATCAGTGAGTTACCATTAATAGATATCATTTCCAAGTTAAATTAGAGGGCTAAGACAATCTACGTCATTTTACAGGAGATAATACATTCAAATTCCTTTATCCAGTTAAAACTTAACAACTAATTAATTATAAACAGGTGAGGAAGTGACCTATCTTTCCTCTTGACCTGTGTTCTATTCCTTCAAATTCAGCCTAGGACTCTCTCCATATAACTTGCTAAAATAAACCTACCCACAGCCAATCGTTGGGGTACAACATAATTTCCTATTACTTACCATATATTCTACTGTGCAATTCATTTCAAAAATATGCCTTTCCAAATTAGAAAAGTTTGAGGGCAATTATTCACATTATAGAGTACTTCAAGTACTTAACTAGGCGATAAAAATAGGCACTGTAGGTTCAGAGGTGGAAAATGAAATGGAAAGATTAAGCTGTAGTCAATTATGATGAAATTCAGGTCAAGTCAACTGTGTCTGAATTGTGAGAGGAGCGGGCATGTCAGCTCAGCAGTTAGGGCACAGTTTTGGAATCCTGTGTTAGAGGGACTGGGTTCAAGTCCCGGTCCTGCTTCCAATTGCAGATTCCTGCTAATATGCACCTTCAGAGTACTCACATGGGAAACCAGCAGTGAGTTCCTGGCTCTTGGCTTTGGTCTTTTTCAGCCCTGGCTGCTGTGGACATTTGGAAAGTGAATCGGCAGATGAAAGACCTCTGCATCTCTAATTCTCTGCCCTTCAAATAAATTAATGTTAGGTTGTTTCTAAAATGAAAATAAGAAATAAAAGCATACATGTGATGAAACTGTACGGTTAAAAGAAAAATTTCACCACAATTTTTAAGAGCATACGCATTAGTTCTATCTCCTTTGTATGTTTTTTAACTTAGGTTTTTAAATCTCTGCAATATTTATTCTTCTTTCCTTTTTCTCTACCGTTCTTATTTTACAATGTTTTATTTCCTATTCTAATTATATAACTTAAAAATATCCCTCCTTTGTTAAAGAAAGGAACACTTTTACCTCCTTTATGTCTAGCTGTATAATCTGCAACAAAAAAGCAGCTACTGATTTGGGGGGAAAATCCAACTTTAAACTGCTCTCTCATGTTCACAGAATATTAACAATATCACTTTTTAAAAAAAAAGTTCCCAGGGGCACATTGTTTTTATTACTGATAAAGGTCCTTCCTTGGATATCTAGTCCTTGAATCTAAGCATAGCCTCTTCGTTGTCACATCCCATTTCTTAGCACCAAGAATTCAACCCTCCTGAGTCAAGGAACTAATCAGGTCTTTATTTGTGCCCTTGCCTGTGGTTTTGAGAGCCTTGGTAGGAGCCACTTTCTCTTCTAAAGATGACCTTGTGGGTTGATTGTGGTTCTCTTTATTTCTTGATGGGAAGTTGTCATTCTCCAATGGCTGGCTGCCTGAATTGGATCTCTGAAAAGCTTCATACACCAACAACAATAATAGTGGCAAAATTTAAGTTTAACATGCTATGTTTGCAAATTAAAATCCCCAAACCCATGTGCTTTTGGGCTAGAATAGGACTCAATCCTGCATAAACTGGTGATATATTATTGCTGGGGAGGTGAGATAATAAATGGTAATAGATAATCAGCGATGAAATAGATGAAAAAATAATTTCCAAAAAAGAATTGCAGTTAAAAAGAGAAAAATGAGTTAGGTAGAGAAAAAAAAAAAGAATGAAAAATGAAGTAGGAGGCAAGTGACAGAATCAATTGGCATTATGATAGATTTGAAATAATTTGAATTCTTTTCTATTCTTTAAAAACAACAGCTGCTCTTCGAGAGCCTGCCATCGTACCTACAGTATCAAAAGTACTCAATAAACAATTAGCTAAATAAAAAACATTCTCAAGACACATTAAGTCTTTATTACTATTGAGAGATGTAAAATCTAAGTAACTGCATTTATTCATCACAGAAGTTTTTAGTACATTCAAAGATGTCTGCATGAAAGATTATATGTAAAACAATTTCCAAACGTCATGAGATTCATCAAAGGCCCTTTAACAAAATTATGCCATCAGTAAGATGGAATCATGTTGAATTTCCTTTTCCACTTCATTGAATTTCCCTCCATCAATCCAACCTTCAAATTCCACAGCTTTAAAACCAGCTCTTTAATAACATCCGCCCTGTAGTTAAAAGTATGTGTTTTTCTAGATAGATCAGCTGAATATCTAATTATAATTCTACTACCTAACTTAAGACCCTGGAAAAGGAAAGAAATCTCCTACTCTTATATGTCCCTTATATGTAAATGAGACTTAATAACACTGAATAGGGTTGATATACAGATTAAGTCAGATTACACTAGCCAAAACCTAAAAAGATTGCCTGATACATATAAAATGGCTATAAAATGTCTGTAGTTAACCTATCCAACCAGTACTCACTCAGAGCACCCAGGACCACTGCTATCACCAGTATCACCAAACACAGGACTCCCAAAATCACAGCAATGAGACGCCAAGAAGGGGACGCAGTTCGCTGGGTTCCTGAGGAATGAGAGAGAGCAGAAACTGAAGGCAGAAAGAAGACGAAGGATCGTGGAGAACTTTAATTCCATTGTTGTTACAAGCTGGTAAATTCTAAAGTGCACCATCCACACTGGTGCCTAGGTAGTTTCGCCACTCAGAATTAGCTGGTGGTTCCCATCTCTGTGAGGATGTGCCTTCTTCAGTTACTGATGCTGTAACTTCTGCATTGCTGGAGCAGCTCTACACTCCTGGTCTCAAGTCTACGCAATAGTCTCTAAGTACTGATCCTCCTAAGTTCTCTGATATTTCCCTTCATTTTTGGAGGAAACATCTCAAAGTTTGAGAAATAGCATTGACTGGGGGGGCTTGCACTGTGGTGTAGCAGGTAAGTTCATTGCTCCTGTGGTGCCAGCATTCCATATAGGCATTGGTTCAAGTCCCAGCAGTTCTACTTCCAATTCAGCTTTCTGCTAACAAGCCTGGGAAAGTAACAGAAGATGGTCCAAATGTTTGGACCCCTGCATCAACGTGGGAAGCCTGAAGGAAGTTTCTGGATCCTGTTTTGGGCCTGGCTTAGCACTGGCCATTGCACCAGCTGATGGACCATCTCTGTTTCTCCCCTTCTCTCCCTTTAACTCACGACTTTCAAATAAATCAAATAAATAACACAGAAAAACTAAGGATAACCTTCCCCTTTGATTTATTTGATGCCTGACCTTGGTTAAGTTACTTTCTATTTTTGTTTTTAATTTTTCTTTGTGACCTTAGGATACTACTATTTCCAATTCTTGTGGGAATTAAATGGGCTGACACATAAAAGCATCCTGCTTAGAGATGACCAACACATTACAGGCCACCCACTATCATACACATACCTGGATATTATCTCCCTCAACCACTTATTCTATCTGGAAACCCCAATGTGTTGCCCAAGAAAAGGATTGCTTAAGTGGTGGTACGAGGAAAACAATTGTGTAATGTGAACTACAAGAAAGCAGAAGAAAACACATTCTGATGTCAAGACCTATGAATAATTTTCCCCTGGAAAACAACAGGAAACCGATTTTCTATTACTCTCACCACACCAAGGACACCTGCCTGCCTCTCAGTGAGAATAAGTAAGAGGGGTATTTCATGGATCTTTCCAATGGGAGACTCATAGAAAAGGCGAAATCATTCAGAAAGAGATCTCTGGATGTCTGTTTGCATTTCAAATCTTACATCCAGCTAACGAAGGCTTTTCATTGGAGACATATATTTTCTTTCACCAGAATACTATGAACTGCCTTGGATTTAAAAAGAACACTTCAAATCAATCTCCTACCATAAAACGAATGTCAGATTCAGAATTCTAAACCCCATCACTGGGGTGAATGTTTGGCTTGGTGGTCAAGATGCAGCTTTGGTTGCAGGGGCTGGGATCTAGCACGATGGCTAAATTGGTTAATCCTCCTCCTTCAAGTACAAAGATCTCATATGACCGCTGGTTCGTGTCCCACTTGTTCCACTTCCCATTCGGCTTCCCGCTTTTGGCCTGGGAAGGCAGTAGAGGATGGCCCAAAGCCTTGGGACTCTGCTCCCATGTGGGAGACCTGCGGGAGGTTCCTGGTTCCTGCCTTCAGCTCGACTCAGCTCTGGCGGTTGTGGTCATTTTGGGAGTAAACCAATGGATGGAAGATCTTTGCCTCTGTCTCTTCTTTTCTCTGCAAATCTGCCTTTCTGATAAAAATCAATAAATCTTTAAAAATAATGCATCTTGGCACAGTCACATTTGTATCAGAGTCTCACTTCCAGTCCTGGCTCTGCCATCAGTTCCAGCTTCCTACATTTGTGCACAGTAGGAAGAAGCAGGTGATGGCTCCTGTGCTTTGATTCCTGCAACCATGAGAGGGACTTGTTTGCATCCTCTGCTCCTGGCTTTTGCCTGGACCAACCCTGACTATTGTAGGCATTTGGAAAGTCAACTGGCAGGTGGACAAGTCCTTTCTATCCTTGTCTCTCTCTGCCTTTCAAAAAACATGTTTAAATTTTAAAAAGTTTTCAAAAGACACGAGTGCTCCTGGCTTCTCTTTGCTCTATATAAGAAGATTAGATTAGCAATTTACTATTTTTTTTTGTTTTAAAAGTCGTTTTTCACTCATTGGTTATTGTAGAATCAGAGAGACAGAAAAATTTCCCATCTGCTGAAAATGCATCAATAGCCAGAGGTTGGCCAGGCTGAAGCTGTGCTCTTGGAAGTTAATCTGGGACTTCAATGTGGTGATGGGGACCTGAGTCACACCTGCTGCTCATGGTGTACCCATGAGTAAGCTGCTAGGATTGGCAGCAGAGCAGAGATCTCAAGTCACGCACTTTGATATGAGATGTGGGCATTTCACTGTCTTAAAACACTAGGTCCAATGCTCACCCTCATCATTCTTCTCTTTCTTATCTCCTGATATTGTTCATACACATGTGTCTAAATTTGCTCGACCTCCACTCCATGATGTAGTTCTTTCCAGCAAGCAAGCAACAAGTTGTCCCTGTTGAAATTCCTTCACACTTAGTGCCAACTCTTCTGAGATGAAATGATTACTTCCATAGAATAGAGAAATTATATTTTCTGCCATCATACATCATTAAAATATTAATAATTCATAATAATCAACCAATAGCTTCATTAAATAAAGGCATAGTACAAATCATTATCTTCAGTGACTTCTAAAAAATTTTAAAATAAGAAAATCATGCACATCATATCTACAGTTTTTTCCACTGGGAATGAGAGTGCTGAAGGCAGAAAGAAAACAAGAAATACCTTTCTGTGGTAACACATGTGTTCTCTTGGTGACCCGAGAGTGGAAGTTTAACTGAGTGTATCCATCTTCATCCACATTTTCTAAGCTGGAATGGCACTCCATTATCCTGCAGAGTCCCTCTGTGGTTGCAGCATTGGAGAGCTCTCTTCCTTCTCCTAAGCCGAATGCCCACGGACAAATGAGGATGTAAAAGTCAAATCATGTGGGATAGTTTACTGAGGTCTATCAAGCCAAGTAGCCAACCAGACAGACACACAAAAGCAGGAAATGAAAACCGTGCTGTGGCAATTTCCCATTTTTACCTTGAGATCCTGTTTCAAGGAAATCAGGAGGCTGCAAAATGCCTAACTTAAAATTCAGATTATGCACAGGAAGTGGGCATACAGCGTGCCTTTACTGATCTCTGAACAGAATTTGATGTCATGAGTTAATGTGGCCTGTGACAGTATTTTTTAGCTTGAGCTTACCATCACTTTGTCAGAACTCTTAATTCATGCCTTTATCCACGTGCTTATTCATTCCCCAAACATTTATAGAATGCTCAGCTTTCTTACTGGGAGGAGAACATGAGAACTGTGAAAAGCTCACTGGCAGTCTGTGGTTCACTATTTGGAAGGTTCCACAAGGAACCATATGGCTGAAACAATGTAGAGAGGGTTTATAAAACAAACGAGTCATTACTTGTTGAACAGCTGCCATGAGCCAGCTCCTGCCCTTTACGTATGTTTCACATCCAATCCCAATTCTCCAACAAAGACCATGGGGGAGTTATTATTATTCCTGCTTTTTAAAAAAGATTTATTTTATTTTTATTGGAAAGTCAGATACATAGAGAGGAGGAGAAACAGAGAGGAAGATCTTCCATCCATTGATTCACTCCCAAAGTGGCCATAAGGGCTGGAGCTGAACCGATTTAAAGCCAGGACCCTAGAGCCTCCTCCAGGTCTCCCATATGGGTGCAGGGTCCCAAGGCCTCAGACCATCTTAGACTGCTTTCCCAAGCCACAAGCAGGGAGCTGGATGGGAAGTGGAGCAATTGGGACACGAACCAGCTACCATACGGCATTCCAGTGCATGCAAGGCAAGAACTTTAGCCATTAGGCTACTGCATCAGGCTTTATTCCTGTTTTCAGATAGAGAAAGTAAGACTTTTAAAACTTAGTCCCTGGGGCTGCTGGCATGGTGGCACAATGGGCTGTTTGTGGCACAGACATCCATGTCAGAGCAACAGGTTGGAGTTCTAACTGCTCAGCTTCCAATACGAGTTCCTGATAATGTGCATGAGAAAAGCATTGAAGAGTACTTGGGTCGCTGATACCCATGTGGGAGACCTGGATGGAGTTCCTGGCTCCTGGCTTCTGCTTGGTCCAGGCCTGGCTATTAGGGAGATGGAAGATCTGGAAGATCTCTCTGTGTCCTTCCCTCTTCTCTCTCTCACTCTGCCATTCAAAGAAAGGGATTTTTATAAGAAAACAATCCTTTGTGCAGATCAAGGAGTTAATTAAAATATTGGAACAAGCAATAGTGTTCTGGGGTGCCTGCTTGCTGGGGCGCCTCTGTGAGAATAAGGACTGGGAGAAAGTTTTGGGGTTAGGTAGAAGAAAAAAAAATGCTGGCCAGACACCTGTGGATTGGAGAGGCAATGAGTCAGGTCAACATGAAGTTGTAATTCCAGATGTCCATATTTAAGAAACCCCTAGCATACTTATGCCCAAGTGTGTTCTGGCCTCTTTGGCTCTGTGGGTTAGATTTTCTTTCTTTTGGCTATGCCTACGTGTAGCCTTCTGCTCTGGGTTCCCTCTTAACTTGAAAAGCAAGAACTTAATCCATAGGAAAACTCTCAGAATAGAACGGAGAAGTTGGGGGTAGTGCTGTGGCATGTGGGATACACCACTATCTGTAGGTTAGCATCCCATTTGGGCACAGGCTCAAGTCTTGGCTGATCTAGCTCCCTGGCCTGAGAAAAGCAGTGGAGGATGATCTAAGTGCTTAGGCCCCTGCCACCCACACGAGAGACCAGGGGGAAGTTCCTGGTTCCTGGCTTTGGCCTGGCTTAGCACTGGCCGTTGTAGCCTCCTGGGGAGTGAACCAGCAAGTGAAGACCTTGCTCTCTCTGTAACTCTAACATTTAAATAAATAAATAATTATTTTTTTTAAAAAAGAATAACTTAAAAATGTATGATCAGATCCATTGTTAACACATGAAATAGGAAAATTTTCAGGGTAAGAACAGAGAAGAATAGCAAGATATTTTGGGGCTTGGTGTAGGATAGTTGATTGGATCTGTAGGTCTAGTTTATAAAACAGAAAGGTACTTCCAGGAAGGCTAAGGGGACTCCCACAGTCTCAAGTCAACTTTCTCTTGCTGTTGATATGTAAATTCCTCAAGTCCTCTTCCCTTATCCTATGTGACCCACAGTCTTTAAAAACCTGGTTCTGTTAATAAACTTGGGTTACTGACCATCAGTCAGTAGTCCATGTGTATGATGATCAGCTCCGTGCACCAAGTCTGTTGCTGCTGGACAGCAAACAAGTGACGCCTGTAAACAGGAACTTGAAAGCAGAAAGAGGTAAGTGGGAATAATGGACCAGAATCAGTGCAAAGTGTAACCTTTTATCTCTCTTGTGCAGAACTTTTTAGTGAAAACTGGAATAAAGGTAACTAGGCAGCAATTGTGCTCTTGTTTAGAGGTTATTTGTGAATATAACCCTTGTTTCCCCAATGAAGGGAAATTAGAAACTGCATTTAAGGATTGTGCCCAGAAAAATGGTGAAAAGACCCCAAGCATAGAAGATATTCATGTTAGTTTTTGGATCGCATGAGCTTTAATTGAAGTTATTATCATTTCAGAGGGGAACTTGCAAGAGATTCGTCTAAGACAAAACATCACCAAAATGTGGCTAGAAAGGAAATGTCTCATAGTACAAATGAGAAAGAAAGAGAAAGGGAACCCATGAGAGATCCCTCTAACAGGAAAGGCCGTCACAATGTGGCTAAAAAAGAAATTCCTTATTACTACAGATGAGGAAGATGAAAAAGGGGAACGTGTGAGAGAGCCTAATAGAAGATGCCACTGAAACACAGCTAAAGCAGAAATGCCTCATTCTAGAGATGAATACAAAAAAAGAAAACTCAGGAGAGACTCCCCTAACAGGAGATGCTACTGGAATGTAGCCAGAAAAGGAATGAAAACTTCTTATGTTAAAACAGCAAAATGACAGCACTTCTCAGAATCTTCAAGTGAGGAAAATGAGAATGGGATAAAAAGGATTTAAGCACCAGCCCATGCCGCCTCACGATCAAGAACGTTCTCTGTGCTTTTGATATGCCACATATGGGCCCCAGTTCATGCCCCGGCTGCTCCACTTCCCTTCCAGCTCCTTGTTTGTGGCCTGGGAAAGCAGTCAAGGACAGCCTAAAGCCTTGGGACCCTGTACCCATATGACAGACCCAGAAGAAGCTCCTGGCTCCTGGCTTTGGTTTGGCTCAGATTCCACCCATTGCGGCCACTTGGGGGGTGAACTAGGAGATGGAAGATCTTTCTGTCTCTCCTCTCCATAAATCATTGTAATAAAAATTAATAAACATTTAAAAAATACATGGAAAATATGCATTATGAAGGACTTATGCATGCATTTCAAAAAAAGTTTGCAGCAAAAAGCAAAAACAAAAACAAAAACCACCCCGCCACACACACACAAACTTACCATTCTTCCATGAGCTTTTTGCAATCGCCGAACGTAGATGTTTGCGTTAGAGTACTTATTGTATAGCCCTCCTTTTACCCACCTTTTTTCACCAGCTTTGCTTTCGTTTCCTTTTCTGGTCACCCGTGTTTTGTTCCCGTATCCTTTAACGGAGCACCGTCTTTAGCAGAAATCCACGGAGCATGCGAGGCAGAACAAGTGAGAGGAGCCTCTGGATGGTTCCAGCACTGCTTCAGCTAGGGCGTCTCTCATGCTGCTTATTTCATACCTGGCAATTATATATACAATTTCATTTATTTAGAAAATGAGCAAAGGCAAAGAAAAAATGTTTGGAAGCTATTTACCTGGCACATTCTATTCATTTTTTTTTTTTAAGAAAGGAAGTAGTTCAAGACATGCGAATTGAGTTGCATAAGAAAGCAGGAAATTCGGGTCACTGGTAGAACTGTCTGAATCCACATTCTATCCAGTAAACACAGAGTGTCCTTGTGGCTCTTAACCCTGCCACTGACCTGCTGAGTACACAGGTTTCCGTGCTTGCTTCCTAGCTAGTACAAGGATGCTAGATGCTAAGTTTCTTTTGGATCCTTGTAGGTTGAATAAGTGGAGTATAAGAAAACAAAAAAATGCAAATAGATTCCCGTAGAGTGAGACTAGTATAAGTTAATCAAAATGAGTCCGCACAGTCAGGCAGCAATGAATGAGGTGATGGTGCCCTCTGCTGCCATGTTTTAGGAATGTCAAGGCAAGTTAGAGAAAGTGTATGTTCACTGGAAAGTGAAGGTGAAGAACTTTTACAGGCTGGATCTGACGCATGAGAACAATGCCAAGTTCATTCTGCTTAAAGGCCCATATATTCTTTTGAAAAAGATTTATTTACAAAGGAGAGAGAGAGAGAGATATCAACTATCTGATGTTTCTTCAAATGATAGATTGAAGTCAGGAAGCAGGAGTCTCATCCGAGTCTCCCATGTGAGTTCAGGGCCCAAGCACTTGGGTCATTGTCTGCTGCTTTTCCAGACTTATTAACAGGGAGCTGTGCTAGAAGTGGAGCAGCAGGGACTTGAACATACAGGATGCAGGTGTAGAAGCTTCCAACCTTCTGTGCCACAATGACACCTCAAGGCATCTCTGCTTCTTCATCCCTAAGGAATTGTGATGTGATGATGAAAAGTCAGCTTTCTGTAATGGATTCCTTTCATAATTGTCATATATTTTAATTTGCTTTTAAATTTCTGCCATGTAATATAGATTTCCAGAGGGAAGTAACTTGCTTAATATTAATTCCTATTGCCTAGAATAGTGTTTCACTGTATTGAATAAACATAACCAAATATATAATTATGTTAAATGTATCTATGTTCTTATTCCTACCAGATTGAAAGCACCATGAGAACAGGCAGTGTGTAGATTCATTACTGTTTACTAATTACGTTAAGGAAAACATTTTCTAACAAGTTGTTACAGATGAACAAATAGATTTTCAAATGAGGAAAACATTCCTAATATACATTTTTGTCAAAGTAAGTTAGATTAACTAGGAGAAATCAGCATGTCTGAAAGTATCCCTTTGGTGTCCAGGTTACTGAAGAATCTAATCATCCTTTCAAAAGGCATGTAGTAAGGAGAGGGGTGGAGCGGTGGGTGAGCCGCCATCCCTGGTGCCTGCAACCCACATGCGCACTGGTTCGTGTCCCAGCTGCTCCACTTCCAATCCGGCTCTCTGCTGATGGCCTGAGAAAGCAGCAGAGGATGGGCTAAGACCTTGGGCTCCTGCACTTGTGAAGGAGACCCAGAAAAAAGCTACTGCTCCTGGCTTCAGATCAGCTCAGCTCCAGCCGGTGCAACCATGTGGGGAATGAACCAGCAAATGGAAGATTTCCCTCTCTATAACTCCGCCTTTCCAATAAAAATCAATAGATCTCTTTTTAAAATCAGCTTCAAAAATTCTATAGAGACCTACATCATTTCCAAAACATGAGACACTTAAATATGATTGACAGGCATAAGATTTAAGAAAAATTGTTCATGAAAACAACCTTTCTTTTTGAATGACATTGATTGGTTTGAAAGGCAAAGCGACAGAGAGAGGAATAGGGGCCAGAGAAACATCTTCTATCTGTTGACTTACTTCCAAAATGCTTGTATCTGCTGGGGTAAGGCCATACCAAATTCAGGCACCAAAAACTCCACCTGGATCTCCCAGGTGACTGATGGGACCCCGGGAGCCAGCATCTGCAGCCTCCCAGCTGCGCCCACTCTGGCATAGGGGGCAGGTGTCCCAAACGGGATCGCCATTGGCTGAGCCACCACACCTTCTCTGATATTTCTAATATCTGGGATTTGATGTGAATAAATAAGATGAATCTGTATAAGATACCTTAGACACCAGGTTACCAAGGATAAAAGATGTGATGTGTGTGGATTGACTGAGGAAGATTCATGCTGTCGGTATCCCAAGAAGTTTTACTGAACTTAAGTATTTGTTACTACTGAGCTTTTTTTTTTTTGCTCTGGAAGGGCTGAATGATAACTTAGCTGCCGGTTGTGCACTTACTGGAAGGAGAGGAGCTGAGGCATGTGACTGCTTGCCAGGTCACATCACGCACCACTGAGTTTCAATATGCTGTAACCAGGGGCCAATTTAATCATTACCGAGACCCTCAGGTCTCCTGAGGGTCCGGGTGCAAGCCAGGAAGATACCACTTCCACCCAGAATTCCGAGTTTTCCAGCTGTGCCAGTGTTATAACTCCTCACTCTTTATTCCCTTTGTAAAATGTGCAAAACAACAAAAATAGTAGAAGAAAACTTGATCTCAGGAAACCAGTGACCCATCTGTGATCTGGTTTATGAGATGCTTCACGGCTGAGGTTATGTCCATGGCGGGACAAGAAGGGTCATGGGAGGGGCGGATTTGAGAGGTTTTGGTGAGTAAATACAAGGGTGAAGGAGGTACTACAGGTTTACATGTCACTTGCTGCATTTTAAAAACTTGAACTATTGAAATCAGCCATGGGTTCCTGCTCCAAGCCAGAGCAGGAGGGGTCCTGGGTTCTCTGCATGACCTCTGGGCTTGCTCTATCTCAGGTGGGTCAAGGACACCCCAAAGAAAGGAGGCAGCACATGGCTGGCTGCTTACGCAGTGCTATCGGTGAGAGCAAACAAACAGAAAACTCATTTGGGATGTGGGTGTTCCAAGCAGTGGCTTACCATGCCGTTCCATAAGGTCTGCTCCCGACTGTGGGATCAGCAGGAAATGACCAAGTCACTGACCAAGGAAAAAGGCCCAAGGTCAGTCAGTAGAGGGGCGAGCGGACAACAGGCCAGCAGCAGGGGGACTCTGAGTCCAAAGGAGGGGGCTGGAACAAAAGACACACAGCACCTGTCGGAGAGGGAGTTCCAGGCCCTCAGACCCACGCCAGGTACGGATTCCAGGATGCTGGAACTGACTGCTCCCATGATGCCCTGCCGGCTTCCAGCTTAACCTCAGGGCCCCCAGCTGCTCTAAGACCAGGACCGGTGTCCCAGAGGATCCAGCCTTCGCCCCTGGGAGAATGAACAGAGCTGAAAGAGTTCGCCTAATAAGAGTCAGTCTAATGCCTTTCTGTCTTGCAGCTAGCAACACTCTAGCCAGGGCCCAGGAAAGGCTCTGGCTGGGTTTTGTGCCCTGTTGGATGTGATGAAATGTTGAACCAGATTTTTTTTTTCAAGCCAAGGATATCTGTTGAAATGAAAACAGGCTGATAAGCAAACAGACAACGATGGCAGAATTGAACCACAGGGTTAGGAATGTGCATATGTGTTACCAAAGAGGCCAAGACAGAATAGCCCAAAGTTATGAGTATTCTAGGGCCATAACTTAGCGACAGGAGGAGTCAGTGAATTTGTTTATAAATGGGGTGGGAGTTCAGGTTTTGCAGAGACAAGGCTTGCTGCATTTTTTTTTTTTTTTAAAATGACTCCTAAAAACCGTGAAAGCCAGTCTTAGCTCACAGGACATACACAAAGAGACTGCAGGCCAAAGCTGTAGTTCCAGTCTTGTTTTAAATAATAAAGGGGCCGGTGTTGAGGTGCAGGGAGTTAAGTAGCCACCTTCAACACCAGTAGCCCATGTGGTTCCTGGTTCCAGTCCTATCTGCTTCACTCCTGATCCAGCTCCTGCTATGAGCCTGGGAAAGCAGCAGAAGATGGACCAACGTGCTTGGATCCCTGCCACCCATGTGGGAGACCTGGACGGAGTTCCAGGCCTTGGCCCAGGTGGCAACAGGCTGGCAGTCTAGGCAGTGAACCAGTAGGTGGAAGAACTCTGCCTCTCCCACTCTATGTTACTCTGCCTTTCAAATAACTTAGTACATCTCGAAGCATGAATAAGATCAAGCATGGGAATATTTATCTATTTGGGTATATGTAGACTGCTAGAAAGAGTTGTCCTTTGGACGAGTCAGATCAGAAAAATTGCCTGTAAACCTAAAGCTTGGGAAAAACAGTGCAGTGTTTGGAACGCCTGGAGATGTAAAGAATGATGGGGAGTGGTTAATGAGTCACACACACTGTTGGCTCAACTGAAGCAAATAGCTCAGCTCTTTGGAATAGTAATTCTACTAGACTCGGGGTCAAAAGCGTGATCTTCTTGGACTAGAATTTTTTAGTTTTTTTGCGGAGATGCTTTTCAGTCCAACACACCTGGAATGCCCTCAGTTGTTTTGGCAGAATGAGAAATTTAAGCATCTGTTTATGAAATACTTTTGCTTAAAGGCAAGATGGACTAATAACGACTGGATTTACTTTTCAACCCAAACAAACAGAAACAGACACATTGTGCAAAGCAACAGTTTCCAAAACACTAGATCCGTCAACAACAGAGGGCCAAGGATTCCTGAGAGGCAGAGAACAAGCACAGTGAGCTCCCAGGCTGCCCCAGTGCTGACCGTGTTAGGACCTTCCCAGGCCACATCCAGAGACAGAATCCCCCAGCGGGGGCTGATTCTGGTCAGCTCCCAGTGTCAGGAAACTGCAGCTGAGTGACTGGCGCTCTCTGTGGCATGTGAGCCAGGCAGGGAACTGTCAGGGATCTGCAGAGGAAGCCGCCCTGGGGTGATCAGCCTAACACAGAGCTATGCACAGGTGTGAGAAAACTGCCAGGCAGGCGGTGGGAAGGACCACCAAAGAGGGTTAGGAGCAACACTGTCACCTGGTGCTCACAGAATGCTCCCCAGCAGCGAAGGGGAGGGCAAGAGAGGCATGGGGAGGAGAGGGCAGGGAAAGAGAAGAAAAAAGCCAAAGGAGAAGGATGGGAGAAGGGAGAAAGACACCTTAAGATGCTGGTTCACTCCGTGCTGAACAGGGATGAAGCTGGGAACACAACCTGGTCTACTACAAGAGTATTAGGAATGTACTAAGTGGAACCATGACTGCTGCCTCCCATGGTTAGGGCTCAGCAGGAAGCTGAAGTTAGCAGCACAGCCAAGCCTTGAACCCAAGGCTCTGAGGCAGCATGTGGGAGAATCAACCACTAGATTAAATGCCCACCTATGCAATTAGCTCCTTCCATCTCTTATGTGCCCGTTATTCAACTTCTTTTTGTCACCCCTGGCTCACCCCCAGTTTCTAGTAATCACTACTCTAAGGTGAGATGCACTATTTTTTTTTTTTTAACTATGAGATGAAGTAGTTTGTAGAAATTGATAGACTAGGGTTTGCATTGTGATATATAGGTATAGCCACTGCCTGCAATGCTGGTAGCCCAAACGGAAGACTTAGTCTTGGCTGCTACCCTTCCAATTCTGCTCTCTGCTAAGCTGTGGAAGACAATCCAAGTGTTTGGACCCTTGATTCCCACATGGGAGACCTGGCTGAAGCTCCTGGCTCCTGGTTTGGGCCTGGCCCAATCCTTGCCATTGGAGCCATCTGGAGAGTAAACCAAGACATAGAAGATCTTTATTCTTCCCTCTCTCTTTCCCTCCCTTCTCTATATAACTCTTACTTTCAAAGGAATAATTTTAAAAAAGCATACAGATTACAAAGAAGCATATAAAAGATGTCCAAAAACAATTTATTTTGAAAAAACAAATCAATACTGAAATGTCAGGCCTGGCATGATAGCCTAGTGGCCAAATATTCACCTTGCATGCATCGGGATCCCACATGGGTACAGGTTCGTGTCCCAGCTGCTCCACTTCCCATCTAGCTCCCTGCCTGTGGCCTGGGGAAGCAGTAGAGAATGACCCAAAGCCTTGGGACCTTGCTCCCATGCAGGAGATCTGGGAAGAAGCTCCTGAATCCTGGCCTTGGTTCGGCTCAGCTCTGGCCATTGCAGCTACTTGGGAAGTGAACCAGGGGTAGACCTTTCTGTCTCTCCTCTCTGTAGATCTGACTTTCCAATAAAAAAAATAATAGTAAATCTTAAAAAAAAAAAAAGGCTAAAATGATGTATCACTGTACATGTAATAGGTATCAGAATGGTTAAATTTGTAAGACTGACCATACCGACTTCTAGCACAGATGAGGGGGAATTGAAATATTCCTACACTGTGAGCATATGAAGTAGTACAGTTTTGGAAACGAGTGTGGCAGTTTATTTTTATTTTTTACTTTTCAAAATGTACTTGTATAAAGGGGACACATTTAATGCATTTCATACGTATAGTTTTAAGAACATAATGATACTTCCCACTGCTTCCTTCTTCCTTTCTTATTTTTCTTTTAACATTCGTGATGACATACTTTCCACTTACTTCATCATCACAAGTAAAAAAAAAAAATCAACAAACAGGAGCACCTCACTTCCTCAGGAATATGGACAAGGACTGTAATGAATAATCAAATCTCCAGGTGTCCGTTTCACTCATATACATTCTCCCCTTGTTGGAGCTCTGTGTGTATTAGCTACCACAAATCAGAGCAAACATGATATGTGTTTTGGGGGGCTGGCTTATTCCATCAGGCAGGATGGCAATGCAGAGCTAGACAAACACTTACTATGTGATGCAGACCCCTGAATGTTTGCCTAAGAAATCCTACATCTATAGAAAGTCTTGCCCATGAATATTCATGGCAGCTTTATTCATAATATTTCCGAGCTGAAACAACCCCGATGTCATTAACAGACAAGTAGATAATCTGTGGTGTACGCACACTAGGAAATGCCAAACATTTTAAAAAGGAAATATTGATAGAACAAGAATATGGAGACATACAAATCAAAGGAACTATGTGAAGTGTGAGGAACTGGACCAAAGAGCAAACAAGCAAACAGTGTCCTCTGGGATTTCATTCATGGGACACTGTATAAGCTGCAAGCCGGAAGCGAGCCGGCTGTTGTCTGGGGAGGGGGCACCGGAAGAGCTGTGATGAAACCTTTCCTTGGATGCAGGCACTCTCATGATAGGAAACACGTTCCCTTGTGAACATCATATCCCTTAAACAGGCTCTATTTTTCCATGCCAACGACACTCAATAAAACTGTTCGCAAAAAATAACGTCTCATGTCTTTCTTGGAAAAACCCAGTTTCGGTTTTTAGAAGATTGGTGCTGGATGGAGTGCTGCAAAAATGGGAAACAAAGCAGAATCCTTGTAAAGTAGGATGGCCCACGAAGGAGGTGAAAATAGAAAGGACATTTCTATTTCTGTCGGATTTTCTTCCGCGACATTTGGAGAACTGGCTTAGTTTGTTCTGGAACTGTGTGTGTTCATTTTTCAATCTTGCATTTTTCTGAACTATACATACCTCAACACAGTCTGACGAGAGGCACCCATGATGGACATGTGTTTTAGGGTTAAAAAAAAAGCTATAAGTTTTTGTCTCTGGGCTTAAAGCTGTTAAGCTGTTTTTTGATAGAGACAAGATGAAGAAGTAACAGGTTCAGAAAGTGATCATATGTCGTGGATTAGTTCACAGGAAAGACCGTCCAACTACTATTTCCTTCCCGGGATGCCTTTAGGTTCCCAAAACAAGCAGTGTGGGTGTGTGTAGTGTGAACATGGACCACAATGCCAAAGACCAACGAGCAATGAGTTTGGAGTTGAGAACACAAGCTCGGTTTCCGTGTGGCCTTTCCCCTGTCACGTTTCTTCATGTTGCACTGTTTCCCAGGCATAGTTCCCCTTTTCTGCCTTCTGCCTGCCGTTGGGCAAGCTGTCCTTGTTGTTTTCCATGCAGCTTCAGGAGGGTGAGGGAGAGGTGCATTGAGGTAGAGAAGACTAAATCAAGAGGGCTCCAAGCTGGGAGAGGAGCCACATTTTAAATACAAATGGTCGATAATGAGATACAGATAATGATACAGATGGACACATAAATGACAGCTATAGGTAGACAGACACAGGAATTAAATAAGAACTTTTGCCATAAAGGTATCAGGCAGCCAGATCCCCCAGTCCTTGTCTCTGATAATTTGTTGAACAGCGGGCTGATAACTGGCAGCTCCCAGAGCTCTCATAGTTTGCACCCAAGTGACAAGAAATTGCTTAAATTCCAAACTCAAGCTCAGTGTCCTTCTTTTCTGCTAGGGTATTCAAATTCACTCGATGTCAGCAGCTCTGCCTTCTTCTGACAAATACTGTATGCAACTAAAATGCAGTTTTCAGCAAAAATGTTTCCCCTCTGTATATATGCACAGGTGCCTGAAGGGTACCTCTGGGAAACAGCACCTTGGAATCTGAACCTGCAGGTAAGGAAAAAGGAAAGTTAGATGGACAGGCAGCTTGGGCTGGGAAGTTAACGCTTTCTTCCCATTTCAAATCAATTGCCAATGTGCTCAGCAAAACTCAAGAGCAGACCTCACGGGATACATGGGCAAATGGGAAAATCCCTTTGTGAGAGAGCTGAGAAGCAGAGCTTTCAGAAATTCCATAAGCTTTCCTTGGAGGATGCAGGGGAATGCAACAGCAACTTCACTAGCAGGTGCTGCAAGGGATGAGGAACTTACAAGCGAGGCATCAGAGGGGAACCATCTTCCCAGAGCCATGAGTAGTTGGGTTTCCTTCGAGACAACCCCAGCCAGAATGGGAAATTGGAGTGGGAGATTGTTTGCTGGATAAAGTCCTGTGGAAAGTCAAGTTTCTGAGTTAATGGTGGAATCAATGTGGTGGTTTTAGGATCTAAAAGTCATTTAGTGTAGATTCCCACGATGGATTTCTTAAAGAAATTTAAAACATTATTTCCTGTATATTTGAAAGAGAAAGAGAATCTTTCAGCTACTGGTTCCTTCCCCAGATGCTTACACAGCTGGGACTGGGCCAGGAGCTGGATCTCGTCTCCCATATGGGTGATAGGTTACCTAACCCTGAGCTATCATGTTCTGCCTCCCAGGGTACACATTAGCAGGAAGCTGGAATTGAGAGCAGAGCTAGAACTTGAATTGATGTTTTTCTGATAGGGGAAGCACTAGGATAAATGGCTTCCCATCTTACATGATGGTTTTTATAGATATGCTTGCTAGAACCTTGAGATAGCCTGTCTTTTAAGATCATGCACAGTTGGTGACCAGGCTGGTCTCCAAAACAGATCTTTATGCTCTCAAACCAGGACACCTCCCCCCAGGACTTAACCACAGTCACTCACCAGGTCTTCTGTGCTGTTTATTGTCAATAACTGGGCATCCAAAGACAAGCATCTCTCTTTACTCTTTTCCCAATTAAATGATCCAGAGGAAAATAGGTAGCAGTTTTTTTCATGCCAGAGCCAATCTTGGGGACAAGGACCTGGTAAACATCACATGTTTAATCAGTGAGTTACTTTTCAATAAAAGTGTTTATACTGTCTTAAACCACTTCTTCCCGAGCTCTCAGATGGGTTACGTTTCTCTTCGAGTGTTAGAGGCTTAGAGTCTTCTTCTTTTTTTTTTTTCCTCTGAAGAAAGCAAAGCATTTCTTTTTGAAAGAAAAAGCATTCTGATTTAAATAAACAAAATTCACTTCCTATTTAGCATTTTCATTTCCCTAGTTACAAAACAAGACACACTGTGATGTAATTTCAGAATATGAGCTATTTTTTGGTTGTTTGGAAAAATGGAGAGCTAAGAGGGCTAAGTAATAGACAATCTGCTATGAAAAATTTGCTGCTTATGTGTTTTAAAACTTCTCATCTTTGAATAATGTTTTGATGATTACATATGGTGTCTCCTGCCTTCGAACACAGGCTGAAGAGTGCAGTAGCCATGTGGGATTCTTGAATTCTTGAAATTTGGCTAGTATGGATTAGGATGTTTTATAAATAGAATATATACACTTGATATTGAAAACTTGAAAAAAATGCAAAATATTCTCTTAATCTTAATGCTGGTTATTGATGAAATAATAGTAGAAATAAATAACATGTGTTATTAAAAATTGGATCGTTTTCATTTTTCAGAGTGTTTACTGGGACGTGTGGTGTTACACAGTGGTATACACTGTATTTCCTTTGGACAGAGTTGTTGTAGGGGAACAATGTATTGGTGTAAAATAAGCAACACGATTCCAGAAAATAGGGAGTTTTTTGGTCCAACAGTAAAATTCACAGACACTTTACCTGAACTGGGCATGGGCAATAGACAAATACACCAATCTTTATCTGGTCATGTATGTTTTCCCCTAACCCTCAAATCCTCATCCCGATGCTTATCTCTGTTTGTTCCACTGTGTTAGTAACACCTGGCATCTCTCTGTGCAGATGCACAGTTCTTGGGTCTCTATGTATGACCCAGAAGTGGCAAAAACCAGCCAATGGTTTGTGAGAGTTGGCTTTGTCAGAAAGGAGTTCATAGGAGGGTTGTTAACAATAAAAGTTGAGTGTGAAGGAGAGAGTACCCAAAAGACCAAGCTGCAAACAACATAGGCAATGTTTACACATCTTAGTTTGCCTTGCAGCATCACAGGCTTCCAGACACTAAAGGAACCAGCTAGTCAAGTTTACCAAGTGATGACATAAAAGAAAGATGCCAAAACATGGTATTTAAATGAATTTCATTTCGTGTGTGTATGTGTGAAATTTGACAAGCATAAGTGGTCCTTGTTATATGCCAGAAACTGTTGGAAATACTTTATGTATGTACTAACAATCTGGGAGATTGGTACCATCAAAGTGGGAATTTGAGCCTAGGTGGTCTAAATTGTCTCTTGGTTTAACCATTGTAACATACTGTCTCTCAAACTTGTAAGTTAGACCATTTGAAGAAACCTATGTGGGTGCCCTTCTTAATGTGTTCATGCAGAATATTGGAGCCCATCCAGAATCCGCCATGGTTAACCAGCAGAGTGAGAAGTGCCAGTAAGTCTGTCACTGGGAACTCCTGGCACCTCACCAGCTTAGTAACCTCAAGCAAACACGTGGTAGTTCCTCAGAGTCCCTCCTCACACAGCATGTTTCTAGAAGTTTGTGGAAAGCACCATTGAAAGAGAAGTATATTTTAGTATAGGAAAATTTTGAAATCCATAAATATGAAGGATCCATGGAGAATGTGTATTACGAAAAGCAAACTATGCACCAACTTCAAGATTAACCTATTTTAATTAAAAAAAAATATTTGAAAGAGAGAGAGGCAGGGTTGGTAAAGAAAGAGAGGGGACAGAGATAACATGCTCCCACCTGCTCATTCACTCTTCAGTTGCCCACAGTGTGTGTATTAGGTTGGGTCAAAGCTGGGCATGGGGACTCAGTCTTGGCCCACTACAGCCCCCTACACGGGAGGCAGGAGCACACTAGCTCACTTACTCAAACCATCACCACTACTTCCCAGGGGCTGCATCTGCAGAAAGCTGGAATCCATGGCCAGAGCTGCAACTTAAACCAGGGCACTCTCATGTGGAGCACAATTACCCTGACTGGCATCCGAATTCCTGCCCCAGACTTACTTTTCAATTCGGTGTTTCTCACAACTTTTCGATGTACCCCTGTACACCAAGGACTACAGGCTTGTAGAAAGACAAAACTTTCCCTCATCTTGAGAAAACTGGCATTTTTTCCCCCTTTGTGGTATGTTAAGGAATTTTCTTTCTATTTGTTTGGCTTATTCCTCTCTCTTTTTTAAACATCTCAAAACAGCTTGATAAAAAACAGAACTTCATTTGCTATCTCTACCTGCTGGTCTTTATCTGACACTGCCAAGGAGAGGAGTATGTTATCTGGCATGTCTGCCAGCAGCTGACACACGGTTGATTGATTGATCGATTATTCATGTGTGGTACTGGCGGATGATTCTGAATGGTACCGACATGGATTTCATCCCATACAATTTACAACTGATAAAGAAAAAGAGGTTTGGACAGCCATGCTGTTCTGCTGGCAGGTAGCTATGTCTGCTCAAACAAGCACTCCTGTCTTGTAAACATTCCTACTTTTCATACATCAACCTCGTTCCTCCAAGCCTTCATTGAAGTGTTTTGCTTGCAAGTTCTTTCTTAAAGAAACTAAATCCATGTTGGACAGCTGTTAAACATTAGCTTGGCTAAAATTTCTGCTTATTTTGGCTGTTTAAATGACCCTGTAAACAGCAAAGGGATTTATAAACTGCAAAACTTTACACGAAACTACTTATCAGTTTTCTTATCATTTAACTTTATCTGGGTCTCAGTTTTTTTCATCCGTAAAATGAAGAGATGGTATCTATGAACTACTATTATATAATTGTTAGAAAAAAATTACATGGCTGAAGGTTAAGTGAGCTGAACCTGCAAGAAACTGGATCAATTCCTATTTATTAATGGCAGTTGGCATCTAATCCTGGGACTCTTGTCTGGGCACCTCCAAGGAAGCACTATATTCCTGAAAGTGACACCATCTCACACCTCTCCCTCCATGTGGCTGCAAGCTATCCCTAAACTATAAACTAAAGAAAGAAAAATATAGGACACTTCAGCCAGTCTTAAGATGTTACGGATCCTACCTGACTCCTAGAATCAGAGTACTTTTGGAAAGCTGAGATCAACTCAGTTCTTCAGAAATACTTCCAGGCCAGCTTACTTCCTCTGATGCTACTGCACTTAAGCGGTGCCTTCCAAGAGACATTGCCTTAGAAGACAGCCATGATGGAGGTAGAGTGAGGGTTCACAGGGACAAGAAATCCTTTTAGAAAAAAAGAAAGAAAGAAAGAAAGGAAGGAAGAAAGGAAGAAAGAAAGAAAGAAAGAAACCCCATACTCAAGATCACTGGAAGGGCGAGAGAGAAAAATTTCTGACAAGCCATGTGGGTTAGACAGCTCTTCCAGAAAAATCTCCAAACTAGAATTTTAAAAAGAAAATAGGCTCTCTGATAAGGAGGAAGAATTGAAACCTACTAAAAGATCTGCTTAAATCAGACATCTCAAGAATTCAGCAAAGGTTAGGATGAGGCTGACAAAATAGAGTATGTGGCATAGGATTGATTGTTTTACAAAAGTATAACCAAAACATATTGATATGTTCATGTTAAGTCAAGAGATGTTTCCAGAAAATAGTTAAGATTGAGCAGAAAACCTGTCACCTCATCTCTTCCCACCCCTCACTCTCCGCACCTGAGAAGTTTTCCATTCTCTTGAGGGCTTCTTGGAGAGTCAGGTACTGACGGTTAAGTTCTGTTTCCGCTTCAATCTTCTCCTGAAGCTGCTTGGCGAGAGTTCCTATCATATTCTTGAGTTCTTTATGTGACTCTCGGGAAGCTTCTTCTCTCTGCTGTTGAGCTAATAGCTGTTCCTCCAGCATATTTTCCTGGAGAGTCAGGTTTGCTTGCTGTTGCTTTAGGAGATCAGATACCTGCAATACTAAATCACACCCAGTTCCACATTCAATCCCCAGTGAAAATTCCTCCAATGGGTTTTAAGGAAATCAATACACAAACTCAAGTTCTGGAAAATGATCAAAGTGGAATCCAAAATTATTAACGTGGAAGTCAAGATCAGGAACTGTACTGGTGATTAAAAAAGAGCCAGAATTTCATTTTTTATTGTGAGTTGAACACAAGAGAAATCATAGAATACATAGCATAACAGTGGGATAAAATATATATAACCTAAAATAGCTGGATACTCATGAGACTCAGTGGTTATTAATAGGAATTGTCTTTAGTGATTTATTCTATTTGTATCTCAATTTTTCCATTATAGTTCCTCCTATTCTGTCTGTTTTTTCAGACTTCCTAATTTTATTTAAAAATTGTGGTGCACAGAATTATTGTAAACTACTGTCATGAGAGTCTCAATTTTTTTTTTTCTCTTGGTCCATAAAAGGAAGGGTGGAGATAAAATAAAGATTGCGACATCAAGCAGCTGTGAATTTGAGGGTCAAGTACCTCTGTTCTAGATTTTTCTTTTTATTAGAAGTATTTATTTTAAAGAGATACAAGCACATATTGAGACAGAGATACAAAGAGAGAGGGCATTCATTCATTAGTTTACTCTCCACATGCCTGCAACAGATGGAGAGGTACCAGGGGAAAGTCAGGAGCGAAGAATACTATCTGGGTCTCTCACATGGGCAGCAGGGATCCGTCTTCTAGAACAATCACCTGCTGCCTCCCAGGGAGCTCACTGACAGGAATCTAGAATCAGGAGCAGAACTGGGATTTGAATCCAGGCACTCCACTCTGGGATGCTGGTGTCGTGGGGTCCCAAGAGGTGTTTCACTGCTGGACAACACGTCTCCACCCCTCCTCCCACGCCAGCTCTGAAATCTTGATGGTGTGAGACAAAACAGGCCAGATGTGACCTCGGAGGTTAACCAAAGGACAGGAGGACTCTTCCACTCCCTGACACTGAAGGACACCTCTCTCATTAGTCAGGCCCCAGTGGCTACAGATGGGAAGAACAGTGGTTTGTGGGTTTGAACTGAGAAGCCGATAGCAATTCAAAAGCTGTAATAAGCTGATTCCTATGCAGCTGAAACATCTCAACAACAGAAGGGCAGGTGGGTGATGGGCTCCACCTCTTTGCCCTCGAAGTCACTCTGGTCTTTATTTTTACTCCCTTCTTCCCTCTCAAAATCCTCTTTTGCTAAATGGCCATATTACAAATTTGGCATATTTCTGAAAGCAGAATACAATTTTTTTTCCCTAAAAGACACTCATTTACTTTCATTTTATTTGAAAGACAGAGGGAGAGGAGATGAAGAAGGAGGAGGAGGGGAAGCAGCAGCAGCAGCAGCAGCAGCATCAGTTTATCTGTTGTTGGTTTGGCCCCCAAGTTTCTGCAATGGCTGAAGTTGGGTCAGCCTGAAGCCAGGAGCTTGGAACGCAATCCAGGTCCCCACATGGGGGGCAAGTGCTTGATTACCTGGATTGAAATACTTGGTCGTTTTCTGCTGCTTCTTAGAGCAGGCATTAGCAGAAACCAAGTCAGCAACGCAAGCTGTGAGTGTAATCCAGGCACTCTGACTCGGGATGCAGATGTCCCAAGCAGTGTCTTAACTTACCAACCCTGCCCCTACATTTTCTTTTAAATATTATACTAAGTTTAAGGTTCTTCACTTAAAAATAATGATCACCTTTGTAGAAAAATCAATGAAAAGATGAAAATTTATTGTGGTTAGGTCTAAGAAATAACTTTGTGAAATAATAACATCACACTATTTTCTTCTCCATTATTCTAGAATTTGAATCACCACTATTGGGTGCTGGCAATGTGACATAGCAGGTTAAGCCAGGGCCGATTCAAGTCTCACTGCTCCACTTCAGATCCAGCTTCCTGCTAAGGTGCCTGGGAAAGCAGCGGAGGATAGCCCAAGTGCTTGGACCCTTGTACTGCATGGGAGACCAGGAGGAACCTCCTGGTTCCTTGCTTCAGCATGGCCCAGCCCTGGCTTTTGTGGTCATTGGGGAAGTGAAGCAGCAAATGAAAGACCTCTCTCCTTCTGTAACTCTGCGTTTCAAATAAATGAAATAAATCATTAAAAATATATAAGTAGGCACTATCCATGAGGTTACAAAAGCACAAAGTCAGCCATTCATAATCTTTGTTCCATGTTTCATTTGAGATATAAACACAATTTCCTGCTCGTTTTCCTACTCAAAGAGCATTTTGCCTAAAATGAATCTAAATCAACGTTGCTTTGTAGTTGTTGTTATGAAACAAAAACTTATTCACTCTCATCTTCCCCTCCCACCACACAATTTCCTGATTTCAGTACTTACGTTGCATCCCCAGCATTGCAATGGTCACCAGTAATCCCAGACAAATGATCCCAAGAGACACAGCAGCCAGGCACCACCATGGAGATGAAAGACAGCCGAGACCTGGAGGGATAGAGTGTTGGCAAGTCGTCAGGTGCTTCTTTGGGTGCTGTGTCTGCCGGAAGCTCTGCTTCCCTCACTTTTGGTCCTCTCACTGGTTCTGAAAATAAGCTTATCTACATATTTACAGATGAACCAAATGGATGTAGTTCAGGAACTTAAATCACTTATCCAGGCCCACACAGCTGATAATCACAGAACCAGGATTCCACACCAAATGTCTGACTCTATGTTTATAATCTGTCCAATCTCCTGACAGTCACTCTTCAGGAAATTTCCAGTCCAGCTTGGCGGGGTCAACTTCACCCACAGTATGGAGAGCTTGATGTTGGTCCCATAGATCACGCATACACATGTGTGCGAGCGCACACACACACACCCCCAATGTATCTTTTAGGGGACACGATCTAAACAGATGGTAGAGATCCAAAAATAAGCTTCAGTGAGTTATTGAATTGAAATTTTTCTCAAAGCATCCTATGCATAATTCTACAGTATTTAATTTGTATTCCACTTTTAGTGATATCTTGAAATTAGAACCTTTTTGATCAAATACAAATGCAAATGAAATTTCAGGATTCGTTAGGTGTGCATTACCGGCATGTCCTACCTATACTCACACCAACCCTGGGCCTATTGGTACAAGAACAAAAGTCACCATTTTTATGAAAACAAACAGATGGTGTAGCTCTCAGGTGGAGAATATTCCATTATATGTTCTACCACCAACAAAGCACAAATTTCACTGGATCAGCAGGAAAAAAAAAATCCCATGCATTTGGTTACCTCATCTAATGAAGAAAGCAAATAAGGCCTCATATTATTATCCTCAATACACAAACAAGAAAAGCCAGTATTTCCATGGTATGCTTAAAATCACAGGAATGCAATTGTCACTGGGGCAATGTGACTGGGGACAGCACATCACAAAATTCCCGGTGAGAGTGGATAATTTTCTAAGTCAACAACACGGAAATAAAGTCAGAGTCTTCTTGTGTCAAAAAAACACCATTCTAAACTCTACAGATGATAAAAAGAATATAGATATTTTGACAGTGAGGCATATAAGCATACTTCAATGAGTGGAAAATGCATATTGTGAAAAAACTGTGCATGGATTGCCACCATTTTTTACAGCATGGTCTTTTGCAGTACTTCAAAGACATGACAATTATTTGTGCACACATTGAATTAAATAATTTCCTCAGCCCTCTAATTGGATTGTGGATAAATAAATCGATAAATAGAAATAACACATTTAAAATGAATAGTGTAGAGAGATAAGATTCATCATCACCATCATTAATGTGTGACTTAGGCTTCTTTTAGGAAAGTGGTATTAATTCTCCTATACCACACTTCCCAATCCTGTTCTTTAATACATTTACATTTTTGAGCTTACATGGATACTCTGTTCCTCTACGAGGCTGCCCATCCCAAGCACCTTTACCTTTCTTCCGGTTTGACGTCTCATCAGGTTGGTCCTTCATGGGTTTGGCTTTGAGATCCTCAAAAGTCATTTCCAAGTTCACGCCAAAGAATGAGAGAGAAAGCGAATCAGTCAAAGACTTGCAGAAACTGACAGTATGTGAACTTCTGCTGGGGTATTTAAACAACCACTGTTATCTAGTAGAATGACTCAATCACTTGGTGGGAGGAAGGGGAGGTTTTTGCTTCATTGTGGGAAGTTGGCTGACGCATTCTTGAGTTATCTCTGTTGCAGGTGGGGGAAAGTTGTGATTGTGAGACTGTTTCAGAATGTTTTACTAAGTTTCTTCTGGAAGGGTCATTTTCCATAACCATCAGAGGAAAGGCACTGGGAACAAGCTCAAAGAGAGTAGGTGGTACTAAGTTTGTGAAAGAGTAAATTGGGACCAATTTGTTTCCAGTAGTTACATTTGTTTGTGAATTTTACTGTAGTATCCTGTCTCCTCTGCTCTAAACAGTGTCTTTTGTAAGTCAAACATTTTTCTTTATATTTGTTACATTTCCTCCCCACCCCCAGGCATCATTTAACCTAAAATGAAAGAGAGTTTGTCCTCTGATGAGAAAGACAGAGTGAGGACATTTTTAACTGCTAATTCAGTTTCCCAGATACCAGCAATAACCAGGGGAAGCCAAAGCTAGGAGCTGGGAACTGAGGCCAGCTCTCCCTGACTTGGGGCAGGGACCGATGGCCTGAGCTTACCGTGGCAGCCTCCATAGGTCTTCAGCGGCAGGAAGTTGGAATCAGCCACCAGAGCCAAGTATCAAATCTAGGCATGCCAATGTAGAATGTGGGCACCAGGTGAATGCCTGCCCCATTGTCAGTTTTTAAACGGATAATTCGCCTTGGGAATTTTGGGGGTGAGTCATGTAACTCCCATTTCCTGCAGTGATGTCCTAGATAATTTTAGAACTTAACTAGGACTACCATTTCCTATAGTGAGAAAAATAATATAGAAGCAGAGAGCCCTGTAGAGTTAAAACTAGTTTTAAAACTTTCCCAAGGTTTAGAACCTTAGGGAATGACTCAGCATGCTGAATCTTTGTAAATCAGGATAATGTGTACTTGGTGGTGTTGCTATAAGGATTTAAATCAGATATCCGGTGAAAATAATAAACTCTAACCTTGGAATAAAATGAGAACCCAATTAATATTACCATTTTAAACACTGCTGTTGAACCCAGCTAATCAGTGAAGAGCACATTTGGATCTAACCTGTGGCTAATGTGCAGCACAAAGATTTTTTTTAAGATTTATTTATTTCTATGGAAAAGGCAGATTCACAGAGAGGAGAGACAGAAAGAGATTCTATCTGCTGATCTACTCCCCAACTGGCTCCAAGGACTGGAACTAAGCTGATCTGAAGCCAGGAGTTTTTTCTGGGTATTCCTTATTGGTGCAGGGTCCCAAGGCCTCGGGTCGTCCTCTACTGCTGCTTCCCTAAGCCACAAGTAGGAAGCTGGATGGGAAGTGGAGCGTTCAGGATATGAACCAGTGCCCATATGGGATCCACTGGGCTACCATGCTGGGTACGCTCTCTGTAGGATTGTCTATTTATATTTGCGCATAGAATCTGTTCCTATTTTCCTTTCACAATCAGCTAATCTGAAAACCAACAAACAAACAAACAAACAAACAAAAAAAGCCAGCAAAAACTTCCCCCAAAACAAAACTTCACTGATGGCATGTGTCTCCTGAAGTGTTTCTGCACAAAATGATGTGATCTGATATTTAGGATTTACTTTAAACTTTTCCAGCACAAAAAGTAAAAAGGTGAGGATGAGGGTCAAAGCAGATTGGCTAAGCAAGGTACTAAGAAGACCGTTAGATGAGGTCACCAATGCTGACAGCCCGTAGAGACTGCACTTGCCTCCCAGCCCCTAAAACCTGACTGTGCACCTTTTTTTTTTTTTTTTCTGAGTAGAGTCTCTAGGACCAACTGGAAAATGTCGATCACACAGTGCATACACAGAGAGAACTCGGTGGCCAAACGCCCGAGGTAAGTCAGCTTGTATTGAGTCAGCGTTACTTTGTTTGAGAAGGAAGTGTCTGAGTGGCTATGTTTCTGCTCTCACCATGGTGACTTCCACATGCATCAAATCTCTGGAAGTTCATGGTGAGTTACTAAGTGCTGAAATGATGTTACCATGAAGGACACCTGACCATTCTGAGGGATTGCTGCTTCTGCTGTCACCGATACTGCAGAACATCAATTGTTTACCCATTTCACCGTTTCCAGATGTCCTGTCCAGTGATGGTCCTGTCCAGTGTAGCATCCCCCCTGTCCTACCTCCACAACGATTTCATTTCTTCCAGCGGAAGCTGCACCCATTCAGCAGTGGCTCCTGTGACAGAGGTTCACTGTATGTGTCCTACCCAGGCCAAGGTGTTTTGGGAATGACAGTTACATAGCAAGCAGTAGAATCAAGCAAGTTCCCGTTATATGACTGGGCCTTATTCAAAAATCAAAGGCTTGAGCAACAAAAAATATTGGCTTTCTCCCAAGTAAAAAATGCTCCAAATCAGGGCCAGTGCCATGGTGTAGTAGGCTAAGTCTCTGCTTGCAGCGCTGGCACTCCATATGGGTACTGGATCATAATCTGACACATCCCACTCTGCTTGTGGCCTGAGAAAGCAGCAGAGAACGGAACAAGTTCCTGGGCCCTCTGCCCATGTGGGAAATGTGAAGGAAGCTCCTGAGTCCCAGCTTCAGGTTAGCTCATCTCCAGCCATTGTGGCCATTTAAGGAGTGAATCAGCGAATGGAAGATTTTCTCTCTCCTTCTGGCTATGTAAAATCTACCTTCCAAATAAAAATAAATAAATCTTTAAGAGAAATGATCTGGACTTTCTGGGAGACAGAACACAAACAGACTCATGGGAACATTGAGCAACTTTTCCACTAAAAAAAACAAAAATTCTCTGAACTATCAGCTCTCCCAGGTCCCCTAACACCACTCCCTAATCCTTCCTCTTCCTTCTGGAAGCTCCCATTCTAGTTTCTGCTAGTACCCGAGATAGCTCGTATATGTGGAAGCAACATTTATCCTTTTGTGTCTGAATTATTGTACTTGGCATAATGTCTTCAAGGATCATTCATACATGCAGTGTGTCAGAATTTCCTTCCTTTGGAAAAACCGCACACTATCCCCATTGGGTATCCCCGGGTTTATTTGCCTGTTGGTGGAATTTTTATGGTTTTCTGATCTTTTTAAAAGAATTATTTATTTATTTGTTTGAAAATCAGAGTTAGAGAAAAAGCATAGTTGGACACATACACACATTGTTGATTTGCTGGGTTACTCCTCAAGTGGCCGCAATGGCTGGGGCTGGAGCTGGCTCAAGCAAGGAACCAGGAACGTCTTCCAAGTCTCCTATCGAGGCCACAGGGGCCCAGGAACTTGGGTCATCTTCCACTGCATTCCCAGGTGTGTCAGCAGTGAGCCGGATTAGCGCTGGAGCAGCTGGGACGCTCACATGGGATGTTCGTGCTGCAGATGCTATGCCATAGTACTATCCTTTTAATTTTTAAAAAAGATTTATTTATTTTTATTGCAAAGTCAGATATGCAGAGAGGAGGAGAGCCAGAAAGGAAGATCTTCCATGTGATGGCTCACTCTCCAAGCTGCCACAACGGCTGGAGCTGAGCCAACCTGAAGCCAGGAGCCAGGAGCTTCTTCCAGGTCTCCCACATGGATGCAGGGTCCCAAGGCTTTAGGATGTCCTCAACTGCTTTCCCAGGCCACAAGCAGGGAGCAGAGTGGTAAATGGGGCTGCTGGGATTAGAACCGTTGTCCATATGGGATCCCCGTGCGTTCAAGGCGAGAACTTTAGCTGCTAGGCTAACGTGCTGGGCCCGAAAGTAGCCTTTTAAGACTGGAAGCAAAGGATCCAACACATGCACGGCCCTCAGAAACTTTGAATCAAGACATGATGTGGTTGTTTCACATTGCTTCTCAGGTACCCTGGTCATGTGTTATACGGCGTAAAACCTAATGCAATCTGTGTAAGCTGAATCTTTCTGTTGCATGTAAGTTCTTAACTTTAATCCTGTTAACTGACTCAGTGCCTCTGAGGCTGCCACTTGATACCTGTGCTGTGATCTCAGCTCACAGACACTGCCTCGTGGAGTCCCAGAGACCCAAGAGGGAGCTAGTTCTGTTTGCCAGCTTCTCTGTCTTTCAAGCCATGGTTGTGATCCAAGGCACCGTGCAGCTCTTTATGGCTTGATGTTGCTCCTTAGCACAAATAGTCTTGACCTCTGTTTCAATGAGAGATCTAGAAAAAAAGGGCAACCTAGTGGCCTACTAACTTACAAAAGTCAAAAGGAGAATTGTCAAACAAGCAATTCTCTGACTACACCAGTAACAGTTGTATAACAACTCCCTGAAGCACAGGTGGAAAAAAAAGAGAAGAAAGCAAGCCTTGTACATGCACCCTCCATCAGTTCCACTCCAAATCCTTAACAACCTGGGTGCAAGCTAATGATTCACCAAGCCTAATGGGACCACACAAGACGGAATAGGACTGTAGTGACAGCCCTCTGTGGGCCCCAGTTCCCTGCCCTCCTGTGTGTGACCAACAGGTGCCTTCTTCAGACTTCTCGCCTCACTGGACTTTGCACTCCATCATTCCCACATGGAGGCTTACTTGGGAACCGGATTCAAGAGTTGAAATTGCCACAAGGCATCATCAGCTTCATGAAGATAAAAATAAAGATTATATTTTCCCGGGGATTAATCTGGTAGGAAAATAGGAAATCTAGGAAAGAAAAACAACAAGGCCATTAACAGAACCCAATGTTGTTCAAACCTGTTGGGATGCTGGAGGGCAGAACGACGATGCAGTCATGGGGCAGGAAAGCGCAATGGGGGTGAGGGCACAAGCCGTGCTGACTGATGAACCTGTTCCTGCAGGTAAAGGCTGGCATGGTTGGCATGGTTGGCAGAGGAGACAGCCAGGTTAGCAGGGGCAAATATTCAGGAACTGGAATATGAGGATAGTTAAAATGGAGACTGGAGAAGAATTAACATGAAAACACACCTGAAATGATATAAATGCATAAATGATATTAACTGTGCAGCATATTGTTAGGCAAGAACGTTGATAAAACCGAATGGAAATTAAAATATTCTTAGTTAACACATAGGATGTCTGTTATCGAGACTATCAGGTGCATTCACTACATTCTACCTTATTGGATCTTTATCAGCCAATGACTATGGTAAGACTATCATTTTTACTCCCCCCACCCCCATCTATGTAGAGTGAAATTGAAGCAGCACAAAGATACAGCAACTTGCTGAATAACTTGCTGACGATCACACGGCAGTGACCACAGTGACAAAGCAGGCATTGAATCCCAGGCATCCCTCCTGGGGGCTTAGTCATGATGCTGCACTCTGATAAGCCCCAGGAAGGGACAGGTGTGTGGTGCTCGTCCTGCACATGACACACAGTGCTCTGGAACAGAGGCATTCCTGTCAAGGTCCCTTTGACCTGGAATGTCATTCTGCTCCCAGAGCCGCTCAGACGGATAGCACGTTCCTGGTTTATGAATGGATGCGTTACGTCCTGGGGGAGCGAAGGCAAGAACTAAAGTCCTATTGGAAAACAAACAAACAAACAAAAAACCACCTCTCATTCTGTCAAAAATCTTAGAGAAATTTGGAAAACATACGTCCACCTAGCCCTGACTGCTTTACTTTTTAAAAAAAGGAATGTTGGTGCTTTTTGAAATAGATTTTAAGTAAATAGTATCATTTCAGGGCAGTCTCTTACGTCTGCTTTCCTCAGCCAAGAAGGAATGTCTGCACTTACCAGTCTCATATCATGTTGTTATTCTGGGTGAGGGCCTTAGAGCCGCCCAACGGACTCAACAATCAGTGTTATTAGCCATTCTGAGTTAGATAGGATCTGAAAGGTGGTTTCATTCCAATCTTAGGGGATAGATACTCACAGAACAATGAAAACTAACATTTGATTTTCTCACAATTTACACTGTGCTAAACCAAAAACTGCCTACTTCAGTATAAATCAATTTTGCAATATAGATTTGTTCCTATAGATACAGTTGTAAGTATTTTGTGTTCTTTCCCTGTGTGGTTATTGTCAATTGTGATTTCAAATCTATGTTCCTAAGTGACAAAATTCATTTTTTCCCTTCACAGAAAGAAGGGAGAGACAGAAGCAACCGAGAGAGAGAGAGAGAGAGAAAGAAACAGGTGGACAAAAGAAGAAAGAAAAAGCCTCTCCATTTTGGAAGCCAGTTTAAACTCTGACTCGGAGGTTTCAACGGGAAATTAGGTCAGGTGGAGGACACCATCATTGACAACACTTGGGAATTTTAATTTTCCAGCCTGATTACTCCTACCCCAATGCTTAGGAATAAATGGCCCAGAACCAGCGGAGTTGATTATCAACATAGTGAAGGAGGTTTCCAGGTGCGAGCCTGGGCCGTGCTACTCACACAGGGAGAGGGCCAGAGGAGATTAGTGGGCTGGCTTTCATTCTCCTCCAGTCACTCTGGAAAGTGGCAGTGAAGAATCAAGAAATGACTGATTTTTTTCCATGAAGGAGAGAGAACGTATCTGGTCACCAGCCATCAGCCTTTGACCTCGCTCAAAGCCAACTTGGTCATCACTGACTAGAAAAAGACTTAATTCAGAGAACAAATGTATCCTTTCTGATGAACTTCCTTTTGGGAGTGGTAGGGGAAAGAAAATGAAATAGAAAGGATTAACAGCTGGAAGGGAAACAGGAGGTTAAAAAAAAGAAGCAAAGATGCAGAATATAAAAATAGAAATAGATGCAAAAAGAGCAGAGAAAGTAACAGGTAGAGAGAGTTAGAGGAGATGGAGAGAGAAGAGGAAGAAGAGGGATGAGGAGGAAGAAAAACCGATGTATTGTTGAGAGTTTCTCTCTTTGGTGATTCCAGGTGAGAAGCCGCAGATGGCACACGGTGTGACGAGGAGGCAGTGGATGCGCAGTGCGTGACGCTTGGAGGAGCGGAAGTCCAGCCCCATGGGAGTCGGAGCCCAGCTCCTGGCGGCCTCTGCCCTGCTGTCCTTTGTCCAGGTAAGTTGTGAAAAGGCAGGGAGAAGGAAGGCATTTTCTTTCCAAGCAGATGCGCCAACTCATGAAGAATGCAGGGGGAAATGCGGATAGGGACCCAGGGGCAGGTACACAGAGCGCCCAGGAGGCAGTGGGGAAACGGAGAACCAAGTCGTCCTAGGACCCTGGAGTCATGCAGGTGTATGTGGGTCTAGTGGCAGTGCCAGTAAGAAGTGGGGCAAGGGTATGGTGGCCAGCGAGACAAGTTGTGACACTGTAGAAGAAGACTTGGGTGCATATTCCTCTCTCTGAGACTCTTACTACCCATCTTGCAGAGCCCCAAGTAAATGATAAACACTGCAGAATCCCCCCCTCCCCGATGGAGTTTCTCATGGTAGCCCTAGTACATAAATGTTACAAAAAGAGGGATCCCTTCAAGACTCTTTGGACCCTCTGCTTTTCCCACCTATGAATAAGTCATCCATTAGAGAAGGGGATCTTTAGATAGAGGGACTTGTGACAGTGGTGAAGGCAGCCTCTCTAAAACCATGAAACCCAGCAAGGAGAGCGCATGAAGGAATCCGACGGTATCCCACTCCTGTTCAGGTCCTGGCACGGAGTGGTGGGATGTCTACTCTGCTTCCTGTACACTGCTTCACCTGTTCACCTGCATACCGTCTCTCCTTTCCCTGTATTTTCTTTTTATTTCCTCCCCGCCACTTCTCTCCCCTCATGCCTGCCATCCCCCCTTATCTCCTCTTCTTTGAAACAAGCTTAAAAAGTGGTATCTACTGGATTCTTTCCCTTTCTCTTACCTTTAGTGAAGAAAATGAGGCAAAATCCCGAGATTGGGTTGGAAAAAAACAAAGGTTGATAGCCAGGGGGTTCTGAAATGCTATCTGCTCTTAAGCTGTTCGCAGATCATCTCATCTGGTATGTGCTCGCTGTGTATGTCCTAGTGCCTTCCATACATTCTCAACTGGCACAAATTCCTACAGCCTCTTAAGGATGTCTATGGCTAGAAGGTCTCCCCAAGAGGCCACTGAACTTATCTGGACAATAAGACGCTGAACTTTATGCTAGGCATGTGTTTGCAAGCAATGAATCTCAACTGAACTTGAACTATGGTTATGCAACAAGGTGGAGGAATCCACCATGGGGGGAGGGGTATGGGAGGGGTGGGGGGGATCCCCAGCGCCTATAAAACTGTACTACATAATACAATGTAAGGAACAATAAAAAAAAAAAAAAAAAAAAGGATGTCTATGGCTGCGCAGTTACCAACTCCTTCCTGTTACTGGAAGACACACACGCCTGCTAGAACCAGAGCTTGTCTCGAGAGGTCTTGGAAGGAGAAAGACTGAAGCAAGGTGGAAGAGCTGGAGGTTTCTACATGAGGCCTGGAAGGGATCAATCAGTAATATCCAGGAATGGTCACAGCAAGCAATTGCGGTGGAATCTGATCTGAATTCTGTCTACGTCTAAATATTTGGTCATATAATTTAAAACCACGCGCCTTTGTTTCTCAGCTTTGCAGAAAAAGGCAAACTATGCCCCTTTACAGGATTGTGGAAATGGAATGTTGTGAAATAGTGAATGTCCTTAGCAACCTGATTGATATCTGGTTGCCATTCAATAATTAACATCTCCCCCCATTTTTTATTTGAGAGCTAGTGGCATGCTGAGGGGGATAAAAAGACCAGTGGAGTAGAACTCAATTTGTACCTGGGCAGGAATCAGGAGGATGGTAACTTCCTTAGGGGCAGAGCAGAAAAATTCTAAGATAAAAAAAGTGACATAAATGTCTGCCTGTCACTTACAAATGTGGTGACACTTATCCACCACCAAAATAACAGATTCAAGGGCGGTGGATGGGAACTGCTATGACACCACTTTGGGCACCTGCATCCCACATTCAAGTGCCTTGTTTAACTACTGGCTCTACTCTCAGGTCCAGCTTTCTGCCAGTGCCCACCCTGGGGGGTAGCAGGTGGGGCTCAGTTAGCTCAATTCCTGCCACCCGTGTGGGAAACCTAGCTTGAGACCCCGGCTCCTGGCTTCAGCCTGGCCCAGCTCCAGGTGTTGTGGGCATTTTGAAGGGAGTGAACCAGCAGCTGGCAGGTTTCTGTTTGGCTGGCTCTGTCTTTCTGTCTTTCCAAAGTCTCCACAAATTTAGGGCTTGCTCTTCTGGGTAGTCCCATCTCAACTCCAGCAGTTGGGAACAAATGAGAGGCGTCTGGACTAGATCTGCGGCCACGTGCTCCTCTTGCCCATTCAGTCTGGGTGGGGAAGGTGGGCGGTAACATGCTCAGTCCAACAGACAAGACAATTTCCCTGTCTGAAACTGTTTCCTTCTTGCAGCTGCCTGGGGCAAGATGTGAGGAGAACTGTGTCAGCGCTGAGCCGTGAGTAGCTGAGTTGGAGCTGGGAGGATGGCGGGATGGGCGAACACACTGACACTCCAAACAAGGTCAAGATGTCACTTGATTCTGTGACTTCCCCTTCTTTCTACATAAATGGGCATCCATCTACTAATGTCACGGACAAGGACTCAAAAATAACATTGTGACAGTATTTTTTTCCCCCTCAAAGCCAGTCTCACCAAAGCAAGCAGAGTCCCAGCGGATTACTGAAGACTGTCTCACCCCTGCTTCTCAGTGACTCACTGGGACAGACTAGACTCAATATGCCATCACCGGCATATCTATGCACTGGTGTCCAACACAGCATTACCACTTCAAGGCTCTAAAGCGCTTCCACGCTTTGGGGTCATGTTCATACTGATCACAGATCTCACTTAGCTATTAGAGCTGTCTTTTCATCTAAGCCTGCTGCAAGTGGGGCTCATGCAGACAAAAGATACGGGGGTCTGAAAGAATTTTATTTCGCTTAGAGGAAATTATTATTAGTGTTAACATGTAGGGCCTGTTTGAAAACAAGACTTGTTCCCAGCTGAAGGAAAGCATGTATTTACCATGGGAAGAGTTTTGCAACATCCAGATCTGTTAAAGCCGGGGGAGGTGGTAATGACCTTAGCATTTATCTTGTGTAGATCAGGTCCTGTGGTTTGCACTCATGGCCTGGTGGACATCTGATACCATAGAAGTGTTCTGTCTTACAGCAGCTGTATCTACTACTGTAGGACTAGAGGGGTGATAAACAAAGGAGAAATGTGACCCCCCAAATTAAGAAACATCATTGGTTAGTGAAAAACACAGACTCAATTTTTCACAAATGCACGACCAAAAAGAAGATAAGGAAATATATTTCAATAGGTTGGTGTGTCAGAAGTATTATTAAATGTCCCAGTACAGCAATCTACACACCTCCATCTTTTGCTTTCCCCCCACCCCTAATCTTATCCCCCCACCCTTTTTAGGAAACCCCTGTTTTTTTCATCTTCATAGAGAACCTTTACAGTTTCTACAGTTCATGCCAATGAGTTGGCATTTGTTGTGATAAGGTTGGCTTCTGCTTTTTTCTCCTTCCTGTTTGGCCTCAGCGGCTCTCCTAGTGCTTCCGCCCGTGGACGTGAACATTTTGGCCTTTTTTAAAACGGTGCATGTGTTGCAACAGTTTATGAAACAGAAATTACAGACTTGCTTACATTACTTCCATGCTTTTAACCGACACTTTCTCCATGTTTACATATGACCTCAGATGCAAACTTTAACATCTGTTTTCAAGTTCCGTCGTTGCCAATTTGCATCCCACATTCCTGCTTGTTAACGTTCATCCTCTCCACAGCGGTCATCAATGTATGCGTCCCTATTAACACTCATCGGGATCACTGTTTTAATCTGCACCATGATGATTTTCAGATCGGGTCACACAATGCCACCTGCATACAGCACTAAATGTGATTTAAAGCATTCAGTTTCATTAGAGATTCAGCTAGTTATACTGAGGCTTAAGTAACAGGACCCATGATTCTTTTATAATAAAAAGGAACCATATTATCTTGTGTCTGGTTTCTCTGATGCTGGAGCACCACATTTTTAATCTAAAAGATTTGTTCTTTCTTTGTAGTTGCCTGACCACAGACTGGGTCCACCTCTGGTACATATGGTAAGCTTCATTTGTAATACCCAGAAGGAGTTTTTAAAAAATTTATCCAGGGGTGTTAATTATTTTTAAACATTTAAATATATTGCCTAACAGGAAGAAATATGTATCAGATATCTGCCTACTTAGTAACTCGGCATGGAAAGTTTATTTCATCAAGAACCTATGTAATGGGTTTGTTTGGTGCAAAAAAAAAAAAAAAATGTTGAAATGCATGCATACTAGAAGTCTTCAAGAAGTTCCTGGGGATATATCCTGGGGAAGTTATGTGTGGATTTCAAATTTTTTGCACCAAAATAATTAGATTAAAAAAATTTTTTTAACTTAACTAGATTTTTCCATGAATGTTCTGAAATTCCCTGGCAACTAGTGGGATGTGAAAAGCCTTCTTTCCGGATCGCCTTAAGTGCCTTGTTTGTTCTGACTTAATCTTGCTGAGAAAATAACAAGATACGTGTGTAGAGAAAAAGCATTAGAATTAAAAGCTTATAATGATTCCATAAAGCATTCAAACAAGAGGCAAAATGCAGGAGCAGGCTTCAGCCTGTTAAAGACCCTGATCCGGATGGTAACCATCTTCCATCACAGTGCGCTGTGCCGGGCCTGGCTCCGACTCCATCTTCCTGCCCACGCAGATCCTGGGAGGCAGCAGGAAGGCTCCAAGCTGACAGGTCCCTGCCACTCGGCTGGGGGTGAGGGGGACTTGGATCAAGCTCTTAGTTCCTGACTTTGATCCTGGCCCACCGCCCTGGTCACTGCAGGCAGTTCGGGGTGTGAAACTGCTGAGAGGAAAGAGGGGGAGGTGGGTGTCCCAGGACACAGTTACTGAAGGCTCATGGCGGATGCTCCCGGCGCTCTTGCAGGCTGCTGGTGGTGATCGGCCTGCTGCTGCTCCTGTGTGGCCTGATGACAGTGTGCATGCGTTGCTGCTGTCCCGGCCGCCAGCAAAGCGGGGAAGACAGGGGCCCGCCGCCCTTCGAGGTGACCGTGATCTCTTTCGACCACGACAGCACGCTGCAGAGCACGGTCACGTGTGAGTACCTCCCCCGATGACGTGGAAACGGGAGTGGCTAGGAGGGGACAAGCACAGAACTGCTGCTTGAATAGTAGCAGAGTTTCTAGAACTCAGGGCAGCTTAAGTTTCCAGATCTGCCTCATAAATACATACACATGCTTACAATGAGGACGCAAAAGGTGCGAAGGGAGTCTCTGACGTGTGATGATGTCATGCGTGTGAGAGCGCCATGCCTTCTTTCCCCCACAGCCCTGCAGTCCGTGCTTGGTCCTGCAGCTCGGAGAATCCTGGCCGTGGCTCACACCCACTGCCCCCTGGGCCAGCAGCCCTCCTCCGCCGACGTGCTCCCGGGCTATGAAGAAGCCCTGCACATGAGTCGCTTCACCGTGGCCAGGTGTGGGCAGAAAGCACCCGACCTGCCCGCGGTGCCAGAGGAGCAGCAGCTGCCTGGCGTGCGGGAGGGGTGCCCCCAGATGGGACACACCCCGAACTGATGGGCACTCAGACTTCCTCAGTGAGGGAGGCACCCCGGAGTCTGTGGGGATCCCCAGAAAATCGGGACGCGTTGGTTGCCTACCAACAGAAGAACTGGAGTGGCCTCTAAACAATGTTCCAAGGAAAAGGTGGATTCCAAGTCTGAGTCTTCATTCCCAGCCATGTGGGAACATGTTCTGACATGGACTGCTCGGCTAGGGAACTCCCGGGCCGTCTCCAGTGTTCAGAATTTGTAATTCACTGCAAACCCATGGCAATGATCCCGAAACCAGAGTTCCTTCAACACATTCCCTGACCCAGACAACGCCGCAATTTCCTCTTCTCTCTGCCAGCTGATGGAGCGGAATGAACTTGAGGCAAAGGAAGATGGCGCGAGCCTGGCCATTTAATGCACTGAACTTACATATCATTTCCTCCCGAGAGAACAGCCGGTTTTAATCTGGATGACAATGTCCTATGGATCGCCCTGTAATGGCCACTTGGATATCTAGAACTGAGATGTGAGTGGCTGGTGTGGAAAAACAGGACGCAGCAGAGTACTGGAATTTCTTTCATTTTGGTCTTACCCACTAGCAATAAGAAACAAACACATAGACACATGTATAGCATACACACGGGATGCTGTCACTATTCTAATTTGTCAAGTCCTCTGCCTTGAAAACACAGGTGTACAGACACACATGTGCATGGAGTCACTCCCTCACTTTTATTATTTTATTTTATTTTGCTAAAGGAATCCATGGCTCGGCTTATTGCTTCTGCTTCCCTAGCCAGCTGCAGCGACACGCACCAGTCTCTAGGTGCTTACTGCCACCTAGTGGAACCATGGTGGAAAACACATTCTCGCTTCTGGGCATGGCTGCTTTTAGCTTTGTAGCTTTTGGCGTTCTTAGACGCTGTCGAGATCTTTCTCATAAAACCATTCCGTCACCTGTTGCTAAGCTAGCCAGTTGGCCATGTAATACGCTGTTGAAAAATTGAGTATAGTAAGAAGAGAGCTGAGATCCTTGGGCAAGCACAGGATTTCTGTGAAGGTCAAAGACGCTGAATGTAAGCGATGTGATTTGTAAAGTACGGTGCCCTTGCGTGTGTCATTCTTGGGGTTGTCATCCAGCCTTCACCTGCCTGCTGTGGCTCCTTGGAGAGCTCGGGCCTCTGCCAGCCAGCTCCACTGTTGCTAATCACACCTCATGTGTCTTTCTCAGTGAGTTATTTGTTGAAGAGAAGCAGCTAAAGGCGTAAGTGACCCTTCGGAATCTCTTCTACGGGGGGAGATGAAGAAGACGGGGAACCAGTGGCTTGTGAAGCAGTCAGCTCTTGTGTTCAGAGAGGCCATTCAGAGGTTGGCTGCTTCACACAGCACCTCGTTAAATATCATGTCCTCAGTGGGGTTAACCTGCTGGTTACCTGGTTTCAGACTGAGCCACTGATCAAGTTGCCTCTGGAAATGATAGAAAGACATGAAATGTTGAGAGTCTCCAAGATGACCTTGTCTTAACACTGCCCAAAGAGTCATGTCATCACACATTCTGCAAAAATATTTTAGGCTCAGGCCCGGTGTGGTAGCCTCGTCGTTAAAGTCCTCACCTTGCACACGCCGGGATCCCATATGGGCTGCGGTTCTAGTCCTGGCAGGCCTGCTTCCAATCCAGCTCTCTGTCTGTGGCCTGGGAAAGCAGTTGAGGACCCCCCCCCCCCGCCCCCTGTTTTATACACAGCTCATTCCAAATTACTCTGCACCCAAGAGAAGAAGCCAGCAATACATAAATAATAAAGTTGGCAAGTGGTTAGGAAGTACCACTTCTGCGTGGTTATTCTGCAGCTCCTTCCCCTTATTGCTAAGCAAGGAGGGCGAATGAGCAGGGCACCTCCTCGCCCGCTCGCCTGCCAGCAGTTCATCTCTGCTCTCATCTGCCACTGCTCGCACTGGGTTTCCTGTGGGGGTTGATGCAGAGAAAGCGCCTTCTCTGCCTGCTGCAGTTGTTGTGTAATTGGTTTGGGCGTCCCCCGAAGGTCATGTCTGGGTCTGAGTTCCCAAGTCTGACGTTAATAGTTAATGAAACAACCTTCCTGTTGTTGGAAGGTGCGCCAACCTTTGGGAAATACGTAGACTGGATCTGGTTGCTGGGGTATGGCCTCTGTGAGTGCATCTTGGTGGCTTTTAGTGGGAGACGCACGGCCTCTGCCTTGGAGGAGATGTTCCCAATCTCTTTGCTTCCTAGCTCCCTAGGGTGATCTGTCCCTTGCCATCTTCCTACTGCTTTCCACTGTCATCAGATGCCAGACCAATGGAGTCACAGAATCTTGGACTTCAAGACCAAAATAATCTTTCTTAAGTAGCCCTTCTCAGGTATTTGCTACAGTGATAAAATGCTGACTGATACACTTGTCCAAACAGAAATTCCTGCAAAGCATCAGGGTTGTGTTTAGTGTGACATCAGTACCTGGTGTGGCAGGAAGGGATCTCCATAGCAGGAGGGAGACCTGAAGGATGGGCCCTCCTCAATTCAACAAGGATACGAGAAACACCCCTTTTGGGGGGAAGCTGGGTCAGAGAGAACATCGGGCCCTCGTGCCTTGTTCTGTCATTGAGTCAGAGACAAATAGAACTGAGCAGACCTCCTTCCCGTGGTCTGCTTCCGGCTCAGGTCTAACTGACGAACTGCAGCCAAGTTCTTGCCAAGGTGGCCTTACAGGTGGGAGTGGGTACCTAGGGCAATGCCCACCCAGCCTAGTTAAGTCACCATCCCTATGCTAACACTGTCTCTCGCTGACAATAGGTTTCACTTTCTAGGAAATGCCCTTAACTTTCTTCTAATAATATAGTCTTTTCCCCACTCCCAGGCTTAAAAAAAAAAAATAGATTTGAAAGGTAGAGTCACAGAGAGAGAAGGGGAGAGAGTGAGAGAGCAAGCGAGAGAGAGACCTTCTATTTACTGATTCAATCCTCAAGCGCCTGCAACATCAGGAACTGGGTCAGATTCAAGTCAGAGCCAATCACTCCATTTGCATCTGCTGTGTAGGTGACAGGCACCCAGGTATATGGACCATCTTCTGCTGGTTTCCCTGGACGGTGAGCAGGAAGGAAGCCAGCTGGGTGGGAAACAGTTGTTGGACTAGAACCACCGTGAGATGTGGGATGCAGGCATCTCACGAGGTGGCTTAAGCACAGTGCCTGCCTCTCCACGTTGTTTTCTCATGGGCTGTTTTGCACTAGTGCCTTGCTTCAAATCCCCAATGATCCTGGATTCCTTGCTTTCTGTTCATATATTAAAATGGAAAAGCTGAACGGAATCAAACATCCCATCCCATTCCAAAGGGATTTCATTAGCGTCCTCTGAATGGGTTATTCAGAGAAACTGCAGACCTTTGCACACACTACAATGACCTCGAAAAACGGATGACTTAGTCACGAGGACAGAGCCTTTGCCACAGAGGCCCGGGTGACCCTTTGTCCTTTGCCTGTGGCCTGCGAGGTTAGCGGGAGAAGGCAGCCGTCAGTGAAGAAGTGGACTGTTGCCAGATGCCCAGTCGGCTGATTTCTTCATCTCAGAGTCTCGGGCTTGAAAAGTGTGAAAAATAACCTGTTGTTTATAAGCCATGTAGCCTATGGTCCTTTATTATGACAATCTGGAGAGACTACTCCAAATTTCACCTCCACAGAAGGAGCATGCTTTTGTAGCTCATATGGGATCCATTTTAAGACAAAAAACAAACACACAAACAAACAAAAATACCAAAAGCACCCACCCACCCACCCACCCAACCAACCAACAAACAAACAAAAAACCTCCCTCAAATTTGTTTTGTGTAGGCCACCTGGCAAAGCCATGTGGCTCCAGGACGGGTATCCACAAGTAGGGGAGCTGTGAGGGAAGAGCAGTTACCTCCGATACCATCACATCCCCAAGCGGTGAGGCATAAGGGGCGTCACACTGCCCAGTGAAGAACGGGGTCCCTGTAAGTACTGTGACACCGATACACAACACGTGTGGACTCTGGCTGATGGTTGAAAAGCTGAGGTTTATTAGTGGCATCAAGAAGGTCATATAGGATAAGGGAGGAGTTATTGAGCTTATCAACAAAAACCCACCAACTGTTTCTATGCTCTTGTCTGGGATTCTTCTGTTTTGTATATTCCACCAAGTGTTCTCACACAGCTGTTCTCATACAAATGATGTCCAATCAGTTATACAAAAGGTACCCATTCAGTTGTTCTCACACAAATGTTATCCAATCGATTGTAATCCTGTTTGCTTGCTGACCTTCTGGGGTCACAATGTCCTTCTACAACAGAGAAAGATTTTCTGTCCACTAGTTCACTCCTCTGGTGGCTGCCATTAGCTGGAGCTGAGCTGAGCTGAAGTTAGCAACCAGGAGTTTCTTCTGGGTCTCCCACATGGGTGCAAGGTCCCAAGGCCTTGGGCCATCCTAGACTGCTTTCCCAGGCCACAAGCAGGTGGCTAGAAGGGAAGTGGAGCAGCCATGACATGAACTGATGCCCATATGGGATCCCAGTGCATGCAAAGTGAAGATTTAGCCATTAGGCTATGCTGCTGGGCCTGGTAGCTACTCTGTCGAAGCTCTGTAATTCACTTAAATGATCTCCCCTGACTCCACTTGAGACTGAGACGATACTGGCTACCAAGTGTTACCTGTTGGAGAAGCAAATGATCTCCTGGTGATTTAGTGCTGTTATTCCCTCAATGCAGGGAGTGGAGCTGAGGAAGGCTGTTTAGGAGACTGGGGACTGGTATTTAATGCCTGCAGTCAGGGCACTGTTTGCAGGGTTGGCTTCAGAAGTTTGGCTGGACTTTACCATGCAAAGAGACCTGTGGTAGGACCACTGAGAAAAGGGAGGTAGCCCAGGAGCTCCCGTTATGACAAGTGCCAGTGCTGCAGCCTACAAACAAAAGTCCACCCACAGGCACATCCACCTAAGCCGAGTGAGACCTCAAGGGAGAATTGCCACACGAGCCGCACACCTCGGAGGCATGAACAACACTTGTAGATGGTATCACTGTTTCAAGCCACTATTTTGAGGCAGTGTGTTATGCAGCTAATCAGAACTGTAAGAACAAATAAAAAGCAACAAGGACTACATAAATGGCGGGTGAGATGGAGCAAAGTGGGCACATTCAAGTGATTAAGAACAAAGATCCATTCATTCACATACAACCCTAGGGCAAGAAATATTCTTGACCTCAGAGTCGACCAGTTTCGCCCTCTTGGTATCTGGTATTTGTTTTTAGATGTCAGCTTGCACAAACATTCACACGAGATAAAGAATTCTGAATCTCAAGGGTGGCAAGAGAACCTAGCAAACAGTTGCTAATCTCTGAATCTCTAGCTGTGTTTCCTCTCCTCTCTCAGAGGGTAACAACTGGAGGCAGGTCTCCATCCCGGCCATTCCAATGTGGGATGGAGGCGTCCCAAGTGGTGGTTTCACCTGCTGTGCCCAAACTCGAGCCCCGAAGGAGAGTTTTTAAAGTGGCATTTTGTCTGGTTAAGAAAGGAAGCTTGAAACGTTTTCGTTATGTTGGATGTGTTCATTTATAAATTAGCTTCTGTAATAACACTGTAAATGTTGCACCCAAGAATCAAGGCAAGGAACACTGGAAACGGACAGATTGTACATTCCAAGATAAAGCATTGGCCTTTACAACAGCCTGTGGCAGAAAGATTAATCAAAACTTCATCCCCAAACTAGCTTTTTACATATTACATAAATTGCCTTTGTGCTTAGGTATTTTTAAAATAAAGGTTAAAATCAGCATTTTAACTATGATTGCTTCCAACAACAGTCTTAGCATTTTAATTCCCACCATAATTACCTTTTGCAACTGGGTATGAAAAGATTTATCTCCATTGGAATCAAAGCTAAAATGGTAAACTAATTGGAACTTGAAAATAAGGGCTGCCAATTATAAGTATGCAATGTGATAGAAATAATACATGGCTTTTTCATATATTAAAAAAAGAATTAGGGCCACCATTGGGGCTCAGCCGAATCACGGTGGAGTGACAGACTGAGTCCTGGCTGTTCTGCTTTCCATGTAGCCTCCCTGTTTCCAGGCCTTGGAAAGGGTCACCTGGACAGGGTTCCAGCTCCAGGCTTTTGCTTGGCCCAGATGCTCCTGGGATGGCCATCTGGGAAGTCAACCAGGAGGTTCTCCACAACGACCCCTTTTCCCATCCTGTCACTTTGCCTTTCAAGCAAATAAATACATCTTATTTGTGTGTGTGTGTGTTGCAGACAGAGAAGTTTATTTGCGAAGGGACCAGGTGAGCAGGGAAGGGAGAGGGAAGGGGCAGCACCTCTGGAGAGAAAGCCGGGAGGTGGGTGCCTCTCGAAAAGGGAGGGAGACACCCATAAATACATCTTTTTTAAGATTTTTTTTTTTTTGCCATGATACAGTTTTGTAGGCATAGGGTTTTTTTCCCCTTCCCCTCCAACTCCTCCCCATTCCCCTATCCCCCTATTATTCCCCAAGTGATTACAAGCAGTAAGTAGTAAAGTCCTTTAGTAATAGTTACGCCCTAGGTTTGGCAAGAGTTGGGATAGCTAATATCATACTGGGCGGGTATATTTACTTATTTCATAAAGGAAGTCCTTAATGTATCTCAAAACACAACAATGGGGAAATGTCACGGGGGGGGGGGGGAGAATTGATAACAAGGAACAAGAAATTCATTTTCTCGTTTGTCACGGTTTCTTTGTGTGGGTTTGGTTTTTGAAGCAGACGCTGATAACCCAGCAAAAGGCTGCAGGTGGGCAGGGATTGTCCTGGTCTAACATTTCTCAGAACTCACAAGATTTATACAAGGAAAGGGAACTCTCCTCCTCCCTTCCCTTCCTGGCAAATCCTGCAGCGCCTGCCCTCCCTGCAGATGCCCGGGCCGGCTGGCAGCAGCAGTGACTGGACAAGTCTGGGTTCTTAAGCGAAGGAACGCCCCGAGGGCACCTGCCCCATCACTCAGAGCCTGAAGCACCCGAGGCCGTGCTTTCTGGGGGCGACATGCTGGACCGATTCCATCCCCATAGAGCTAGTTTTTCAGATACATCTTTGCAGAATTAAACAAAACCAAACACATTTAGAACCCCATTGAGTCGAGTCGATGGCCTCAGCCGCTTGCTCAGGTCCAGCGTCCGGGTTCTTAGGACCACCCTGGGGCTCTCAGGGCCCTAGGAAGGCCCGAGTCACGCTGAGCCACCAGGGACGTCCGCCAACGAGGGCGAAGCCGGGGCTCCATGAGCGGACGCGGCCAGCCGAGAGCCCGGAGAGGCCAGGCCTGGGCATCGAGCCCGCAGAGGGCGGAACGCGACCTCGGGACACCTCCGTGGTGGCCAGCCGGGTCCCGGGGGTGACTCGGGCCGCGTCCCGGACCAACCTCGCACCAGCGTAACCCGGCGGGACTTGGGCCCTGTGTGTTTGTTTTGGACTGAACCAAGAAACACTAAGGAGAGGGGGGGATATCATCTTTAGAATATTTTCCTTTCGGCTTCAGAACCACCTTTACGATCAAGCGGCAGTAAAATATGAAGCTAAAATCTGTGTTGCTTGTAGTGAGATTTCGTCTGGACAAGATGAGGCGCGATAAAGAGAAGTACATAGCAGTCAATTTTCTGTGCCCCCCCGTCCCGAGAGAGTCGGGCGCGCCGGGGGCGGGGCCGCGGACGTCACAATCCCTGCGCACGCACGCCGGGGTGTTTGTGTGTTCCCGGAGCTCGGAGGCTGAGCCGCTCGCGTCGCTTCACCAGGCGGCATCCCACCTGCAGGCCGCGGTGCCCGACGTCTGCATCCTGAGCCCCGGGCCCGGCGAGGCGGCTGACGACGGGTGCGGACGCTTCCCCGGCGAGCCTGGGAGCCACAGCAGTCGGCAGAGGGCGGCGAAACGCCGGAGCCACAGTCATCCGCTAGAGCGTCCGGAGGCCCCGTCCGGGGATCTAGGTAAACCTGCGGTCCATCATGAAGTTCCAGTATAAGGAGGACCATCCCTTTGAGTATCGGAAAAAGGAAGGAGAAAAGATCCGGAAGAAATATCCAGACAGAGTCCCTGTGAGTGTCGTGGGAAGGGGAGGAGGAAGAGTAGGAGGAGGGGGCACGGGGCTGCGCGATGCCCTTCCTGAGGTGCCCGGGGTGGGTTTTGGGGGTGTCTCCGGCAGCACCCCATAATCCTGGATGCCCTTCCCTGCCGAGGCCGTGCACATCGCGGGCCCTGGACCCCCGGCCTTCGCGCGGCCCCCGCCGCGTGTTGAGCCCACGTCTGCGGTGACTCAGCAGTCTGGAGGGCCCTTGCAGGTGCAGGTGGGCACGCGGCGGGGACCCCTCTGTCCTGGAGTGTGGAGAGACGCTGGCCGCAGTTAGGCAGCCTTTTCAGCACTCTGAGGGAAGAATGGTGATGGGAACGACTCTTGGAGTTGATCTCCCTCCGGGGATGCTGCCTTGGCAGCGAGCTTGGGAGGGGAATAGGTTCTGGAAGCCGCCGGATTGTTTCTCTTTAGATTGTATTGTTTTTTAGAATTGGAGTGGGGAGGGGTGATGACAAGGTCTAGTTCTCTGCGCCACAGCCTCTTGCCTCAAGGTTCTTGGCCCGGGCCCTGGAGGATGAGGAGGGAGGGGAGGGGAGGGGAGGGGAAGGGAGGGAAAGGGAGGGGAAGGGAGGGAGGCGGGCGGGCTCCTGGGTGCAGATTGTGATTGGGGTGGGCCTGAGCACCCTAATGCGGGGCTGAGGGCTTTCTCCCTCTGGGTTGGGACCCTCAGAGCCCAGCTGGAGGAGGCTGGGATATGAAGTCATCTCCTGGCATCCGGGCGTTTTTCCCGTGGCCCCCTCCCCCGCCCACTCGCCTGGCTCTGATCTGACTGCGCCACCCCACAGGCAGGCTCAAGATGATTTGGGGAGTGTGGCTGAGCCAGCCACGGTGATTGGACTTGGGATACAGCAGTGCGGAGACTTGATGATTTTTAGAGGGACCTGGAATGTTACGTGTGACTTGCAGGTGTGAAGGGTTGCCATCCTGTGGTGATGGCTTTTCATGACTGGCACCTGCTGTTTCGGATACTGCTCCCATTTTGCCCTGCGTTCCCTGTCTTGTTGCCACCTTTGGCCATCCGGGCCTTAGCCTGGCCATAGAAACTCAGAACCCCTTTTCCTGTGAAGACGAAGAAACTCAGCTCTGTGCCATCCCTCAGGGATTTTATGCTCAGTTGGTTTTGGGCTCTGAAGGGGACCCAGCCCTTCTGACTAGACAGTCTTGGTGCAGGCACAATGTCTGCCTTCTAGAACCTGTGCTCGGTTCCCCGGATATCTGTATAGCTGTCATCCGAAAGAATAGCTGTGCTTTGGTCCCAGAAGAGGGGACGATCCTCAGGTTATTTGGATAGCTAAGCAAATTGAGAACCTGTACAATAGCAGCAAACCATTAAGTATTAAGTAACGTCCATCTTTATTTTAGTTTCCTAAAGACTTATTTATTTTTATTGGGAAGGCAAACTTGCGGAAAGGAAGAGAGACCGAAAGATCTCCCAAGTACCCAAGTGGCTGCGATGGTTAGAGCTGAGCTGATTGGAAGCCTGGAGGCAGGAGCTTGCTGGGGTTCTCCTGCATGAGCACATGCTCTCTTGGGCCATCCCCTGCTGCTTTCCCCAGGCCCTAGGCAGGCAGCTGGTTGGGAAGTGGAGCAGCTGGGACAGGAACTGGCATCTATATGGGATGCTGGCTCTTGGATGTGGAAGATTAGCCAATTGAGCCATCACTCAGGCCCCACACCATCTTTCAATATGTGGTGAAAGTCAACTTTGATGCTGGCATCCCATAAAGGCACCGGTTCGAGTCCTCACTGCTCCAGTTCTGATCCAACTGTCTGCTAATACACCTGGGAAAGCAGTGGAGGATGGTCCACGTCCTTGAGTCCCTGTGCCCATGTTTGAGACCCAGAGGAAGCACTCGCCTCCTGCTTTGGTCTGGTCCAGCCCTGGCTGGAGAAGTGGATCAGTCAATGGAAGCTTTCTCTGTCTCTAACTCTGCCTTTCAAGGAAATAAATAAAAAACAGCTTGGTGGACTATTAACCACATTTCACAAATGAGGAAAACAAACTCGGAAAAGCAAAGCATCTCTTGCAGGGTCCAGCGTAAGTGAGGATCAAAGTTTGGATTCTTGGAGGCAACACTTTCTGGCACATCACGGCCTTAGCCAGTGCCCTCCCCACCGCCCCAGCTCCCCCAGGTGTCAGCGTGATGTGTTCTGCCAGCTTGGTGGTTTCTGTCAGTTCTCACCTATGGGAGCTGCACGTGTGCGTTCCCGTGCTGCGTGATGCTGCGTTCCCTCTGCCTGCCCTTGGCTTGATCACCTTGTCCTGCTCTGTTTTATTATTTTCATACATCTTTAACTAAAAGCTTCACTCCTTTCAAAGCACCCTGTGTCTTGGTAATTTACAGCATTGTTGCTGTCCTGCAGCGATGGACTTGGTGCACGGAGCCTACAGTCACACGTGCAGACTGTGACCGATGGTGAAAGGCTGAAGTTTGTCAGTGGCATCAGACTTTATATTGGATAAGGGGAGAGGCATTGAGCTTATCAACGGGACCCATGGATTGCTTCTATACCTTTGTTTGGGACTCTTGTTTTGTATATCCCTCCAAGTGTTCTCATTCACTCAGCTCTTCTCCAAATGATGTCCAGTCAGTTATACAAAAGGTATCCATTTGGTTGTTCTCACACAGTTACTATCCTATCAGTAGTGATCCAGTGCTCGTTGACCTTGAAGGGTCACAATATCCTTCTACAAAAATATTTTCACATGCCATTTTGTGTGTTCCTCAAGCTTACTGTAACAGTCCTGAGACTCGGTCAGAGGTGTGCTGGCAGGCCTCTTCAATAAATATTTACTCTTTTATATACACTTTCCTCTCTTGAACTACAACTTGAAGCCTTGTAGAAATATTGGTTAGTCCCTGAAAATCGCGTATTCCTCAGTGCGTCATTGCACTGACACTGCAGAGTGTCTGAAAGAATTGCTTTAGTACCTTTTCACTTAGCATCTTGAACGTTCTGTGGTAGTCGTTCTTGATGATGCTGACCAAGTGTGTAAGGTAAGTCACGGTATGTGTACCTCCCGACACGGGGGAGGAAGCATAAAGCTAACAGGTGATCAGGATGTGCTGAGAAAACCTGACCAGTCTTCGTGAGGTTCTGAATAAACCCAGGAGGGACCTTATGGGTGACTTGTCTAAGCCTAAAATCCTGGGGTTCTCTTTATTTTTCATCAGGGGCCCCTTCTGTTCTTATTGCAGTAACGAAACTCAAGCCTCACCAAGGAAGCCTCTGTGCCTATTGCCTTGGAGGGGAAAAAGTGCAAACATCTATTTAATCAGACTCAATTCTGATAGGGCTATTATAGGAAGTAGAATGGGGACTCCTAGGTCGGGTCTCGTAGCCTTCACTCGTCTCGTGCTGTTTTCCCAGGTGATCGTGGAGAAGGCGCCTAAAGCCAGGGTGCCGGACCTGGACAAGAGGAAGTACCTTGTGCCCTCTGACCTCACAGGTAATGTTCACCTTCTCTTGTGGACCCCCACCCCCCTGTCTAAACCATTGACGATCTGTATCACATACCTGGGGTCGTGAGACTTGAGACGATGAGCAATCAAAGGAAATGAGTGTGGGGCTCCTTGGGCTTGCCTGACTCGGCAATGAGCCAGGTGCTCTCTGGCTTAGACAGCAGCGGAGCCCAAAACACCGAAAGAAGAAAATCAGACTTCCCACTTGTAAAGTTCAGCTTTGTTACCATGATGTCAGTTTTGAGAGAGGCCGTCTCTTCAAGCCTTGTGGTGGTTTTGTCATACACAGGATTTGTAGATAGTTTGGAATTTTAAAGAAAATATTTAGTCTTCACCCTGATCTTTCACGGAATACCCACTGTGTCCAGGAGACACTGGAAAGATTTTGAAGATGTCCTTGTTCCAGAATGAACAGATTTTAATATTAACCTTCTAGAACATTTTCAGAGGGAAGGAAGGCACTGTACTGCACTTGTTGCCCCAGCACTGAACTGAGTGACTGGCCTGAGATTTCCTGCGGTCCAGGAGACCTCTTCCCTTCGCTGGTCTGTCTTGGGGTGAAGGCGCAGGTGGAAGGGTGTTTCCTATCACCTTCGAGCAGTCATGGGGGCAATTGGTCTGGCTATGTATACGATTCTTGTGTGTGGTACAGGTCTTGGGATGGACCTGCTGATAGCGGGTCTGAAATTCATGGGGCAAAGGAAGAATAAACTCTTGTGGCACGTTTAGGACCACGCAGGCTTCTTGGGGTTTCACTTCTGATGTCCAAAGCTGTTAACTCTGCTCAGGTGGTATCCAGAGCTGGAACTGAATCCAAATGGGCACAGGTGCAGTCAGATCTTTCTTCCTGGCACTTACCCTTCTGCTAATCCCTTGTTTTCATCTCTTCTCGCCTTCATTTTCCTGTTTCCTTGGGCCAGTCGGGCAGTTCTACTTCTTAATCCGGAAGAGGATCCACCTGCGACCTGAGGACGCCCTGTTCTTCTTTGTCAACAACACCATCCCTCCCACCAGTGCCAGCATGGGCCAGCTGTATGAGGTAATTCTCGTGGTGACTGTGGTCCCCAGAGGCTGATGATGCCCTGTGACTTTTGTTGATAACACAGGGGAAGTGGGGCAGGAGGTGTTACTTACCGGGATCCTCTTACGGTGGCAGGCAGTGTAGGCAGTGTAGGCAGCATAGATCCGATGGCACCTGCAGGGATGCAGCCTTCAGGACTAGATTGAATCCTTTGCAAAGCTCTTCTCCTGTTGTCATGTGGGATGGTCTTCATTGGAATGCAGGACACAGCTGCTGATAACAGAAATCCCAAGGCACCTATCCATCGCAGTTCCCGTTTTTCTTTTTGGTGACATAATATGAAAGCAAACGAATGCATTGAGACTCTAGTTCACTTTATTGCGGTTTGCTTGAGAAAGTAAGTAATACTGTTTCAGCTTTGAGCTTTGTAAACTGAAGTTTTCGCTTAGGGCAACTATGCAAGCAGGTTCTTTTTTTTCTTAGTTCAGAACTATGACCATGAGGTAAATTCACTGTTACCCAGACACAGTGAATCCTATCAAATGATGTGTAGATGAAGGTCAAGTCTTCCAGTTGATTTGTTTGTCTTGAGAGCTATCAACTCGGGGGGAATGATGGTGATTTTTAATTTGAGAGGCAGAGTGACAGAGGTGGAAAGAGAATGAGACTTTCCAGATCTTTCCTCTTCACATGGCTGCGAGTACCAGGCCTGGGCAGGCTGAAGCCAGGAGCCTGGAACTCCGTCTGTGTCTCTTGGGTCTCCCCAGGATTGGAAGTGGAGCTGCTGGGTTTGACATACGAGGCTGGCTAGTAAGCATCAGTCTATGCCCACTTCCCAGGGTCGCAGAAATAATGCAGGTGAATGTGTTTCCTAAACTCTCTTCTCCTAGGACAACCATGAAGAAGACTATTTTCTGTACGTGGCCTACAGCGATGAGAGCGTCTACGGGAAATGAGTGTCGGGAAGCGCAGCCGATGGGAGCGCCTGGACTTGGGGGACGGGGAGGGCTGCGTGTGGGCTCCCACCGGGGACGAGACCGAACCTGAGACATCGGGAACCATTACACCGCACATACTGTCATCCTGTTTTCACATGCTCAGTTGATTTTTTTGTTTGTTTGTTTGTTTGGTTTTTTTTTTTTGCTGCTTCCTCAGCCCGGGGAGAAAGCATGTCAGAACAGAGCTGTTTGAGATGGGCTTTGAGAAAGGCTTGGGGATGACGCCATTGTCGAAGTTTTTTTCTGTGATTTCCTGGGAGCGTCAGGAAATCGGCCAGTTAGGGCCAGCTATGGTTGTGGTCCAGGGTGACTCTCTTCTCAGCAGATTTTTATTTTTGACCTTCACATGAGACAAAAAAAGGGGGGAATTGTAGGGAGACAGGGATGGTCTGCAACTTGGTGGCCGTAGGCGGTGCCTTTTGGGGGACCAAGGCATTGCAGCCTTCCAGGACTCCTCCCTTCCATCCAAGTCATGTTGTCACACACAAGCATCTCAGTCTCACCCCAGGGGTGGGGCCACAGAAACTGAGGTGGAACTCACAGCGTGGAGATGGGGGTCAGCCGTGAAGGTGGTGGCGAGGATGAGGTAGTTAGGCTAGCTCGAAACTGGAATTGACTTGAGTGTGGGGCGTGTCTCTAACCTGCTAGCTCTCTCTGGTGCCCCTTAGTCCACACCTGCCCCCTCGGTTAGTGGGCCCTAGGCTATCCCAGAGTGACTCCCTTAGCGGATCCTCTAGCATTTCCCATGTAGAGGGGTGCAGATGTCTGGGGTGTGGAGGGGCCGGTGGGCCTGTGCCTCACCCAGGCTTTCTTCCTCTCCTGCTACTGTGTCCCACGCGCAGGAACGCTTTGGGGTGGCCAGCTGCTTCCCTCCCTCATTTTTAGGAGTCTGGAGGGCTAATACTCAACTCCTGGGGATCTTACCGATTTCTTTTTTTGGAGGGGGTGGGGTTACTTGGGTTGGGGGCGGGGGCACAGGAACTGCACCCTGACGTGTACCATCTCATTTCATCTCTGCTAATACCAAGGGTCTTGGAATTTCAGTTCTGCCAGCCCCAGGCTCTTGTATAACAGTCCGTGCTGTCAGGCCTCAGAAATAAAGTACTTGCTCACCACAAACATCCACCTGGAGTCGATGACTGGCTTTTATTTGGCGCACGTGAGAGCTGATGGCACGAGCACACATGGCCACTAGCAGTGGATGCTCAGCTCCGTGTTCACATGCCGTGTACACATCTCACCCCCCTGCTGCCCTGGGGCCGCCCTCCGAGGGCACGTGTTGGCAGCTGGGCAGCATGCCCGATGTGTTGATGTGGTTTGTCACTGCCTAGTGTTTGTCAGAGCTGGAGGTGGCACTGCCTGCCTCAGAGCCCTGGGTGGGCCGGGGGTGTGCGGATCACGGCTGCAGAGGCCTGGGCCGTGCTGCTGATTGGGCTGACTCAGTCACAGTGTGGGTGGCTGGAGTTTTCACAGCAGTTCATGCCCGAGTTTAAGGAGCAGTTACTCACTGTGCGCTCAAGGTTGACAGCGTCCCTGTCCTTGGCAGCAGGTTTTGCTGATTGTGCTAACCCTTCCTAGCCCTCGCTGCAGCCTGATCAGATGGGAGATCATCTATGTCCTAGGTCAGAACAGGGTGTCTTCTGATCACCTGAGTCATTCATTCAGTCAGGTACCGGCATGTGGGGAAGCCTGGGGGTGCAAGCTGGTGAGAACGAACACGGATGAGCAGAAACTCCATCAGAACCTTCAAACCCATTTCTAATGTTGAAGCTCCCTTTTTTTAAAGAAAGATTTCTATTAGAAAGGTAGAGTTTAGAGAGGGAAGGAGAGACATTCCTTCTGATGATTCACTCCCTAAGTGGCTGCAGTGGCCAGAGCTGAGCTGATTTGAAGCCAGGAGCCAGGAACCTCTGGGTCTCCCATGTAGGTGCAGGGTCCCAAGGATTTGGGCAGTCTTCTACTGCTTTCCCAGGCCACAAGCAGCGAGCAGAACACGAAGTAAAGCAGCCGAGACTTGAACCAGTGCCTATATGGGATCCTGATGCATGCACGACAAGGATATTAGTTACTAAGCCATTGTGACAGGTCCAGACCTGGGGTGTCTGCCTCTGTGGAGTTTTATGGAACATGTCAGAGGCACCCAGAAGGATGTAGGAAGGCCCATAGCAAGAGCCCTCCAACCAGCACACTGCCCAGTGAGTTCATTCGGAAAGTGAGGGGGACAGAAGACCAAGCCCAGAAAGCCCCACATGCAAAATAATGTGCAAACTGAAGGGTTTTGATCTCAGCCTTGAAGGTGGACACCTGTTACAAAAATACCAGGGTGAAGTTCCCGAATAAAGCCAGGAGCAAGCCAGTAATTGAGTCGCTTAGATAGGAACAGTATTTTGAAAGGAATTCATTCAATACTTGGGGGTGAAATTGGAAGAATGTTTAAAAGCAGAGGCATGCCCGAGCCCCAGCCGCTCTTAGGCACCCGGAACAGTCCCTGAGATACAAGGAGTAGATATTGTTGTGCTCTGGCTCGCTCTCAGGAAGGTTTGATTTGGGTTTTACCATCCCTGGATGTTCTTGATGAAAACATCCTTGGCCAGCACATGCTGTTTCAGGCCAGCCCCCTCCCCTGACTTTTGCACATCCCTACGTTGTCTGGCAAGTTCCGAGGCCAAGTCAATTCATAACTGACGATGCTCAAGGTAGAGTCGGCGCCACTCTCGTGGTCCCCGCCAGTCAGTCATAGCTTGGAAACAGAGGGAAACTCTTAGTCACAGCAGTTAATATGCTGCTTGAGACGTGTGCATCCCCAGGAGTGCGTGGGTTCAAGTCACTGGTCTGCTTCCACAGCAGGTGGTGCCTGAGTGCTTGGGTCCTTGTTGCCAGGGAGCTGGGATTCCTGGCTCCTGGGGTCACCTGGGCCACCTGGCTTCTGTGGGCTTTTGGGAGTGAACTGGTTTGAAAAGGAATGATATCCTCTTAATATCCTCTGACTACTGTGGGACTCCGATGAGTTTCTTTGGGGATCCACCAGTTGAACTGCTAGACTTTCAATTTCAACCATGGAGAGAATTGCAGGGTCCATGGTCTGTCCGTGGAGTGCTTGTGTCAGAGCTGGGCCTCCTCAGTGGCTCAGATGCAGCAGTGGACAGCATACCCAGGTGCACATGGAAGATATGGCCGTACATTGGAGCCTGCAGAGGACACCTGGTACCACAACAGAGGGCGGAGGACAGAAGAAATCGATCAACTACCCCAGCCAAGTATTGGCAGTGAATAGCTGGGCAAACAGACACTCTAAGGTGGACTATGTCAGCCAGTGGATTCAGGAGAGATTTCATCGTGCTTGGAGTGGTGAGATCAGCAGCAATTCAGAGCAGTTCAACTATAAACCACTTGAGCAGTGCCCTCGGAGCAGGCCCCACATTGGGGACCTGGGATGGGTGGGAAGCTGGGTGGGGCTTCTCTCCTTATGTCTCCCCTTCCCCCAGACCCTTTGCACCTATGCACTAATTAGTGCATAATAATTAGTGCACCTTTGCACTAATCAACTATGTAAAGATTATCAACAAAATAAAAATAGAGAAAAAAAGAATGTAGGAAGCATCCTTTTGAGAACTAGAGTTCCGTGTCCCTATCTTAGCACGTAATCCAGGAGTGAGATTTAAGTGGAAAAGTCCCTTCCTTCTGGTGGAGGCCAGTTTGGTGTTGTCCAGAGAAAAGCCGTCCTTGCTGTCTCGTGTGGCTTGCGTGGGAAGATTTCAGGTGCTCCTGTGTGAGGGGAGTGTACATCCGGGTTTCCCAAGGGTCATCCTGACTCGTGCCTGATGTCCTGATTGAGTTATTAATTATTCCTTATTTCCCCAATGGACAAAACAGAATATGATCACGTGTATACTTAGCCCAGCAACGAAAGCTGTTTTCACCTTCCATCATGCAGACTGCACTGTGCGATTCAAAGTGCCCCGGCATTACTCTCCCTGTGTGGGCGGAGGCTGGAAACTCCCGCTTACAAATGACAGCTTATTCTTTAGTTTTCCCACCCACGTCTGACTTTTTTTTCCCTTCAAAGCACTGTGTACCTCCTAAACTTTTTTTTAAAGATTTATTTTATTTTAATTGGAAAGTCAGATATACAGAGAGGAGGAGAGACAGAGAGGAAGATCTTCTATCTGTTAATGTACTCCCTAAGTGGCTTCAACAGCCAGAGCTGTGCTAATCTGAAGCTAGGAGCCTGGAGGCTCTTCAGGGTCTCCCATGTGGGTGCAGGGGCCCAAGGCTTTGGGCCGTCTTTGACTGCTTTCCCGGGCCACAGGCAAGGAGCTGGAGGCAAACGGGGCTGCCAGGATTAGAATGGATGCCCGTATGGGATCCTGGTGGCACATGCAAGGCGAGGTGTCCCTCCTAAACTTTTTATAGTGTATACTGTATAGTCTGATGAGAGGTCCAGACCACAGGAGAGAAAAACGTGATGGTGAGCTTATCTACAGTGGTCACGTGGACACACGCTGCCCACAGCAACATGAAGAGTACTCCCCAGTATCATGATATAGTCCCCCGGGCGGAGCAGTGGTCCTTGGGACACAACGTGGTCAGCTGTTGTCACTTGTTACTTGCTGCCCTTATCAAGCTCACATTCCCACCTTGTTACATCATTAAGCATCAACTGTAACAGGTATGGTGGGTGAAAGGTATGTACGGAGCGGAGATGCGGGGAATGGCAATGCGTAGACGTCCCCACACAGCACTGGGTCAGCTGTGGTGATGAAACACTAGGACAGGCATTGTGGTATAGTGCGTTAAGCTGCTGCTTGGGGAGCCAGCGTCCCTATTAAAGTCCCGGTTTAAATCCCAGCTGCTCAGCCACTGATCCCGTTTCCTGCTGCTGCACCTGGGGAGGCAGCAGAGGGAGGCTTAAGCCCCGGGCCCTCCTCAGTGTGAGAGACCAGAATGGAGGCTCCTGCATCCTGGCTTGTCCTAGCCCAGATGTGGCAGTTTTGTGATCATTTGGACAGTAGAGGATCTGTCCTTTCCCCCTCCCTTTTTTTTTTGTCTCCCTGGTGTTCAAATAATATATCCTTTAAAACTTGGTAAATAAAGCCTTTTGAGCAAGCTGATAAAATCATCTAGTTTTTAATAGCACAACACTCTTACCAGAGTATTATGATTTCATTTGAAATTTTTCTCTGGCAGATTGGGACAGGCTCCTTTTCTTTCTCTTTGCCTTCTTTTAGCTTTTTGAAACCACTCAGTACTGTCACAGCCTGATCTGTTTTGCCCTTGGGTGGCCCTGCGCCCAGGTTGCCACCCATTGCCGCTGTGAGTAGCAGAGTATTTCCTTCCTGGCTCATGCCTGCTGTCCAGCTGTGTGCGCACCCCGCCCCTCGGTTGACGGGGTCCTCTCCAGCCTGTGCGGTGGTATCCTGTGGGCGACAAGGACCTACAGATTCTGTTTTTCTCAGCCAGTTGGAGATGTGGCTTACTAAAAACCAACCCCACAGACACCCCTGTCTCTTTCCCATCACCTGGGATACTGGTGCTGTGCCATGCCTCCTCCTCTTCATTTTTCTCTTATTCCTGTAGCTACGCGTGCTTGGACAGTTTGTAAACACACCTGGCCAGACACTTGTCCAGGTCTGAAGCAACAGGAAGTGAGCTCCCTGGGGGGTAATTACAGGACACACTGTTTCGCACGCCAGTGTGCAGGGCACCTGCTTTTCAGCAGTGACTAAGGAAAGGCTGGAGTCATCTTCGGTGGCGTGGCACCATGTGGTCTGCCACTTCTATTTCCAGCTCAGCAGTGTGTGTTAAAATACTTAAGACTCCTAAAAACATGAAATGATTCTGAACTCTTGAACTCCGAATTTAAAACACAGCTACTATTTTTACACTTTCAGTTGCCTTGCTCAGGAAAAGCTGGATGACTTTATTGAGGTAAGCGATAAACGTTGAAGAATAAATAACAACAAGCCGTATGTCAGGTGGTAACATGAGTGTCAGCCTGCAAGTTCTGGCCGCAGGTATCTCTTTTAAAAGCTTACAGGTTTGGGGTGTGTATGGAGGGCATGAATAGCAAATGGAAGATTATTCTCCTTTCTGTAAATCTGCCTTTCCAATAAAAATAA